AAAACGAAAAAAGAACTAAAATTAAAAGATAAAACAAAATGAAAAACAATAAAAGAGGAGCCTCAATGGAGCCTAAATGATCATTGTCATTCTTTTTTGAGGCTCTTCAAGAATATTTAGTTCATTTTTTTAATTAATTATCTCTTAAATATATAATTATGTAATATATTATTTTTAATACTACCTTTTTTTTATCTGTCATATCTGATTTAATAACCCAAACTTTATTCCGTGATTAATTGCATCTCATCGAAAAAATCACACATCACTCTGATTAACAAACATTTCCAAAAGAAACCAGGAATCAAAACACCTCTCAATAAGTGATAAAACTTCATGATATTATTACTTACTAAAACTAGCTATCGTTTTATTCTCTCTCCCTTCCTTGTAGATGAATAAATTTATTGTAATAAGACTTCAAAATTTAAATAATTATTGAATTTTTATTTGAGGTTTTTTTTTTGTACTTTTTGCTTTTACTTGATTCTTTGGTTTAAATTAATATATTTAGAAGTTTGAAAAGTTTCAGCCAACCAATTTTGTAATTGAAATGACGAAAGAGAGATTTGGAACAAAATCTCATCAATTTTTGTAGCGTTAATTATTAGAGAACGCTCATTTATATTGCTCGTAATGTTCTCATAAGATGAAGAATTTTTACTATTAAAAAAAAAAAACAATTAGTTGCGGATAATCGAATAAGTTCATTGGAAATATGTAGAAAAGAAGGCATGTGGTCCTGGTTTGTTGGATTTTGATTCTTAGGGAGATATTCCCTACTTATTAAAGTTAAGTAGAAAAAGTGCATTTATATTCCTTCACTTGAACGAGGGAAAAAAAAATGGAGAACGTGAGGCTAATTAAGACTTGCAATTCGGGCTCCGCCCAAGCCCATTTAATATTCCCTAAATAAAAATAAATCGGATATTCTGTTGAGGGAGATGAAATAAGTTGCAGATTTTTTTTTTTTTTTAAAGAGGGAGATTTGTGTCCTTTTATAATTTATCTAAAGGTTTATTTTCATCACCGAAGAAATTTAGTGATTGGATTTGGGTTATCTTTATATATATATATAAAGAAAAAAAAAGAAAAAGAACAACAACAACAATGTTCTGGATTTGACGTTTGGATCAAATTGTGAATACTTCACTGATTTGCAGCCGCTACTTGATCTAACCTTGCTCTTGTTCTTGTTCACGTTGTTCTTCCACGCTAATCACCTCCACTGCTTGATCTGCCATCAAAGTTTTTTTGACTATCTGCAATATTCTTGATCTCTTCCGAGATAATTACAAACACAAAATTAACAATACTAATCCATATTAATTCTGAATAAATTTTCCTAATTTAGTTCTTGTCTTTCTTGTGTTGTGGGGAAATGCATAAAACTAAACCGAATGGGAAGTAAAAAGAGTTTTTTTCCCACACTTGGATACTTTCTAATCTTAATTACTTAAATAAAACATTTTTAAACTTTATTAAAAAAATACAGATATTTTTACTCTCAATTAAATTCCAGATCAGCATTTTTCTCCTCATCAGCTTCTGCTTCCTTCACTTCTCTATCCTTCTCCCTGCAAGGCTGTGCCTGCAAGCCTACAACTTAACTCCACATCTCCATTCCAAATTGCAACCCAAAAATTTTCAATGAAAACCCCAGTAGCTTGAAATGGGGACATCTCTGTAAACGTAAATAGTACAGACATCCAGATAAGTTTTTTCTGAGAGAGAATTCCTCTTTACCCATTTAGATGTTCTGGAGTCGAATATGGCTAAGCTTTTGGCTATCAAAGTTGCTTTGGAGACTTTTGTGAATTCTGGGCGGTTTGTTGGTGTTCATTTGATAATCGAATCTAATTCGTTGGTTGCCTTGAACTGGTGTACAAGAAAAGAAGCTAGACTTGGGAAATTATGGTCGGTTTTTCTCACAGATTTATTATCTTTGTAAAAAGTGCGAAGTCAAATTCCAGAAAATTTATAGAAAGGCAAACGGATTGGCTGATGCATTAGCTAAAGGAGGCTTACTTGACATACTTGAGAACTTCATTCTCCGGTGTCAATGTTAGCTACAGGGTCAGCGAGGTGAAGTTCCTCATTTTCTTGTTTACTACTAGGGGCGCTTTTCTACTTGTTATTTAGTTGTGAGTTAATCTTTATCTCTCCCATATTTGCTTGTTTTATTTTGGTGTGTATACCAGGCTTGGTTGCTGATGCTGGGTTTGTTTCGGTCTTAAATTATGGTATGTATCAGGCTTGTTCCCAGATATTGGGTATTGCGGTAATTGTTATAACATAGACAATAAAAAACCTATAGAGAACGAAAGTGATTCCATGATGGGAGATACTTGTCCAAATTATATGAGGCGGACATCTATGAGAACTCTCATTATGATGCAATATTGCTAAAAGAGGACTTGAAGAATACAAATTGAAAAAAGGAACACTGCTAAAAAGACAAGATTTCTAAAGTTTTTTTTTTTTATAGAGAGATTTTGATTAAAAAAAAAAGTAATAGTCTGATGAATGTTGCAATATTAGTTGTCGTAACTCTAATTACAAAAAATCAAATACTTTTGATTTTTGACAAAAAAAAATTTATAAAGTTAAAAGACAATTGAAGTGAAGAGGAAAAAAAAAATAATAATGACATGGCATGAAGTTTTCCATTCCGAAAAATAAGATTAAAAATAATAAAGATTTTATTTTATCTTAATGCCAAAAAAACCCAAGTAAAAAGCCTTATGAATTTATAATAAAGAAATTATTTGATACATTAATAATATGATTTTTTAACTTTATAAATGGGGTTGAGGTAATAATACATGTCTCATTTTTTTAAAAATAAATTTTTTTATTTTTTAAATATACGCTAAATAACATATATCATCATTTTAATCTCACTTATAAAATTAAAAAATTTTACTATTAATATATTTGGTAATTTTTCTTTATAAAATAAAGCAAAGTCCATAAGTCAACATAAATTGAGTGATTCCTTACATGATCATGTACCCAAACAAGAAAAAGACACCCAGATAATCATGTATCAATATTGATGAAGAGTGACTCTCATTGCTAACCAATATTTCTTGACACAAAATATGGAGTATAAATTATAAATTTAGGGCTTCAGCTCTATTATTTCATATAATTATTTACAAAAAATGACATTTGATAAATTTAAATTTTAAAATAATCATTTCTCTTATCCCGCTCTTCTTTATAAAAAAAGGAAAAAACTATTTTCCTTTTTAAATTTTTTTCCATTTCTTCTCATCTCTTTCTCTTTCTTATTATAATGATCATCACTTGAAACTAAATCTTCTGTGTTTGTATCAAACCTACTCGCTAATCCTGATATACTTGCCAAGGCGATTCCAGCTGGACAACAATGTGGTGAAACATCTTCAGTCACACGATTCTGATAGAATAACAATTAAACCATTGTTTCAACTTCAACATCCATCAAATAGAATTATTTGGGATTTTATGTTTTTTGAGGCTTGCTTATTATAGTGACAAGCCCATGTGCTTTTTATTCGCGGAAACATACAAAGTTAAGAAAAGAGTTGTTATAGCAAATACTAGAAGATACAAATTGAATTTAACTTATGGATTGGCATCCCTTGGATGTCTCCATATTTCTGCACGTTCAGTTCAAGTGTGTCTGAATCGAGGAAGCGTTTATAATTTACTTGAAAACATGTTTCAATCTTAATAAAAACAGAAGGAGATTGATATCTTGCATTCTCAAATGCTAAAAATGGTTGTTTCAAAAAAAGGCACAGGAAAGCCAATTTACCAACTATTTCTTTGATACACTTGAAGTTGTGTATTAATCTGCACATTGTGAAAAGTTTTGGTAAACTGGGTTTTAATGTCTGGAATATTGCAATTTTGCTCAGCTTTGGTGCACCATTCTGCCACTCCTAGTCCAGTGCATTAAATCTAAGATTTTTAGCTTGTATGTCCTACACAAATACTAGAATTCGCCTAAACCCGAAATCTATTTATTCTTTATTGTTCCAAATAAGGCAAACCTGTTAAGCCTATTATAACGATGATTAACGAAAGAACATGTTCAAGTTTCTAAGTGGTTATAGATCTTCTGTTTCTCCCACCTATTTAAAAATGAAATTTGAATCTTTTACTATCTTTTGCACCAGCTATGTTGAATCTGCATCGAAAGCAGTTCTGATACATGACTATTATTTCTTGACTACTCTGAAATTTGAGAATGGAATTTCCATGCCAAAAGAAAACGCTCAAACCTTACAATGGAGCACACATACTAACCCCAGATGGAACTATGGCACGTAATCCACAATTTCTACATTTTTAATTTGGTTGTGCTTTATGTGAGAGCACTCACTGTCCAGTTAGCACGGTTTAAATAAATCCCACATCACAAAGCGGAAAGTAAGAAGGGCGAGAATCTGCTCATAAAAGAAGCGGATTTTGATAAGTTAGAGCATACCTTTCTCGGCCTTTTGGCTAAGATCAAGTGTAGTATCTGTTCTTATCAGTTTAATATCTGATACGTGGGCCATTGGCTCACATGATATTAAATTTATTTTTTTAGGGGAGAGTCCACCTACAATAGCTTGCTATTGGGGCTCTCAAGCGTCGCCTGAGCGTTGCACTACAGCTTTGGCCTGGCGCACCCCACCAAACCGAGTCCAATCATTTTCGGCTCTAATGATGTAACGAGAGTTTTTGCTCTTATGAGATTGCGGTTACCTTGCTTCAGTCAGTATTCTGGTGGAAAAATAGTTAATTGTTTTGCGTTACAGTTTCTTCTGTCATCTTTCTGGTGGAAAACCAGTTAAAGGGTTGTTCCAACAGAGTTGAAGTCTTGAAATGGTAGCTTGTTTGATATAATGCCCGACAGATTGTCTTTATAGCAAGTTAGTTCTTGTTGAAGTGTGATGTAGAGGTTCTATATGTACGTCTTCTATTGTATGGCCCTGTATGCAAATTTTAAGTTTGATTATGACTGCAGCTGTGAAAGTGTAAGTCTGTTTTTCAGTGACCAGGATGATACGCAACATTTGTGATAAAGAGGTCTTTAATTAATGTTACCGGGCACAAAGATTTACTAGCCAAGCTTGTTTTTCTCGCAGCAATAAAAAATGTTTTTCCCTTTGTTGTTTCCTCTTTAACTTGCTCATACTTTTATTGACAGGATAGGACAAAATCATTGGATGGTTACAGAAATACTTAAGGTATATGATCACCATATTGAAAATGAGAAAAGATAATCCAAATTATGCATTGAAAATCAATAGAGGGATGAGACAGAGCTGTTATCTGAGATCTCAACATGTTCCTTACATGCCTAACTTGTGATGGATTGTGGCCAAAATGTTCCTCATTGGAAAATATTAGACAAGGTTAAGATTTTGTCTTAAGGTAGTGAAACTCAAAGCGTGTTTCCTTTTATTTAACTTCATGTAGCAATATGCCACAAGAACAGTTTTCTACATTTTCATTATTTCCTGACTAACAATCATGGGCCAAAAGGGAGATTTCAGGACATAAAGAAGAGCTTAAACTCAAGAATGGGTCCTTGAGATTGACCCCAGATGAAATTACCAGAGCTCATTCACAGCTCTTATCGCCATTCTTTCATGTGCAATTGAGTTTATTCAGTAATCTTAACCCTTCTCTTGTATCATTCTCTTGTATCATGCAGCTATTTGAATAGATTGATTCCCAGGTTTTTTTAAAAAAAACTTGATATATTTATTCTAACAAGAGAAAAAAATCATACATAGACAAATGAGATTCACAATTCTAACTAAGAAATTATGTCATAAGATAATGATATTGAGTTTTATACATAGTAATAAAAAAATTCACATCAATTAAATTGAGATTATTTCGGATATATAAATATTTGTATGTCCAAAATAATTCCAATTTAACTATGTGAGATATTATTTTTTGCAATTCAAATTATAAAACTTACTCAAGTTTCAAGCACACCATAATTATCAATTTATACATTCTAAAAAGTTATTTACCGATTCAAAGGAAACCCAGCTTAAGCATCAGAAAAGCTTCAGCTTCCTTCATTTCCAGAAAGTTGTCCATCAACTCATTCCTTCTTGTCATCAGCAGTTCAATTTTAGCCTCCGCCTGATTAGCTTCTATTTTTGCCGCCAATAGGGACTCAGCCGACTCACTCAACTCTACTTTCGTCTTTGCCAATTCGGTTTGCATCAGCACAACCTGGAGCCTGGATTGGCACCGATGCAACTTCTTTCCAACAACTTTGGCCCTACACCCTTTTTCGCAAACGGCCGACAAATAAATTAAAGTGAGACACAAGAAATTGTGGCTTGAATAAAGAATCTTGAAATATACGAAAGAAGACAAAAGACATTAAAATCTTGGGTCCCAAGGCCATGCTTTTGTCCCTCAAGGATGTGACCACGTTTTTTGTTTCTTAACAAAATGCTCTTGTATTCAACTATAAAAACTCAATAGATATTTTATTAAAATAAGCCTGACCATGAAAATATATATATATATATATATAATTAAGATTTTTTTTAATTGCTCTTTTTGAAAATTAAAGATAAATTGGAAAATATCAACAATTTTCATGGTGTTAATTGGAGGGAAAAAATTAATCGTACCGGGGCTGGTGCTTTCCCTGCTCGGAAATTTCTTCCTGCCTTGTTTCCTGTATGACCTGAAAGTATATGGATTGGAGTTATAAATATGACAATCAATGTATAGAAAAGCACATGTATTTTATTTTCTTCTCTTGGTTTCAGAAAATTAATGATAAAAAAAGGAAGTACATCGTTGATTTTTTTTTTATTCAACGGGTATAATTTACAATTTTATGTAGTTCGATAAATGTTTTAAATAACTGCAATTAAATAATATTCAAGATGTCTCATGATAAAACACACACCCAGCAGTTAAAACTTGATTAATTTTTAGTTTGAAATCTGAATTTGAATCTTAAAAAGAAAAGAGATTTCTAAGATAAGAGAAAATTACTTCTTATTGTATAATATAAAAATAACATATATTAGAAAAATCTTAAAAATAAACTCCATGACATAATCATTACATGAAGTTCGGAGAAATAAATTAAGAAAAACCAAATAAACAAATCAACGTAAGGTTAAATCAATCCTACGCAAGGAAGACTTAAGCTTAAGATTTAAAATTCTTCCTCTTTCTTTTTTTCAATTGATCAAGTTATCAGAATCCGATATGTGATCATTGAAATTAAAAATATTACTTTATGATAAAAAAAATTGAATGGCTTAGGACCAGGAGCTAGCATTCCTTTGCTATTCATATTTGGAATTTGGCGACAACGATTGCCATCTATTTTTGATTCCATCTGGCAGGCAGGAATCGATCAAAGTTCTCCAGGGAGACAAAGACAAGTAATATAAAATGTTCTAATGTTAGTTCAAAGTTCGAACTGAATTTGACCTCGAGGGTCGTGAACAGTTCAAAACAACAACAAAGTAACCTATCTAATCTAAAGCCAGAGCTCTAAGGTTTTGGTATCAGCCCAAAGAATGAAAAAATGGAACCAAAACGCACACATTAATTAGGTTGCTGTGTGTTTTTTCAGTTTTTCTCAGTCAGACAAACCTTTTCCCAGCTCTTTTTTCTTTGCTTATCAATTCCATGTTTAATTTCAGCTTTTTCATATCTTCTCCTTTCTGGGGGATGAAATAAACGGAGATGTAATCAGCTCATGATGATTATATGAAAACAAAATATACAAGAATTGAACAGAAACAAAGTATACAGCAATTAAAGGAAAGGAAATTGAAGAAACTTTATACCCTTTGCTTTTCGTAGCGTGATCTTGCAATCCCTCTTGTCATTTCAGTGATCAGTGACAGAAGTGAAGCCTGCCAATTCGAATGAGTGCTGGTTTGCTATCCAGCTTCCGCGGGTTTGGCTTAATATACTAACTAATATATAGATGACGAGGACAGGCTAGTGTTACAGACCGCGAGTCTTAAACTAAATGACGATGCTAGGCATAAGCTTCCAGCCCGTGACACTGAAAGATGCATCTAGACCGCTTGAGCTCAGGTCAAATTAGGCGTGCACTGGCTTTAACTTATTTGCTTAAAATAAGTCAGTTTTGGGTCACTATCAAGTTCAGAAAAATTTTGATCATATTTTTTAAATAAAATTTGTCAAATTTTTAATTAAAAATGATTAATAAAAAGTATAATAAAAAATTAAAATCAATAGATTAAAAATTTTCGTTATATAAATCAAGTGTATAAAATTTAAAAAAATTTTAATAACTTTCTATATATATTTTTTATAGATATTTTTAATCAAAATGATAATTTTTATTGTTAAATAAGTATAAATTAAATTTGAATTATAATAAATATTTTTAATTTTTTTTTATATTATTAATTTTTACATTAAACTCTATCGATCTATCAATTTAAATTTTTTATTAAAATTTTTTAAAAAATTATTTTTAATAAACCTAAAAAATTTTATGTAAGTTTCTCTTCCGATATTATATTATCTGTTTTTTTTTTTTCAATATTGGTAATTTTTTCCTTAATTGTAAAGTTATTTAAAAACTTTAGACATTATTAATTGGAAACTAATAAAAAGGTGTGAGATAAAGTTAGACATATATATATATATATGTATTTATGTACGAATAAATATTAATTATTTCAATATCAGTTGAAAAGATTCAACTATAACTATGCATCCAGGTACATTTTAATGTCATGCATCACACGTAATTTAATTCTTGCATTGAAGCTAGAGGTTTAGAGCTCACAAAACCCTTTCATATATTTAGCAAAAAAAGTAAAGCCTAGTACTAAAATTTACTTGTCATAACAGTCTATAACCATTTCGGTATTGACTCTGACACAGAGGGATTAATTTTTACTGCACCAAAGTCGATATTGGGGCCAAAATCTCAATTGTATTTCACGCGCTAGTGCCATTTTGGCCCCCAAACATAGTTCTGGTGTAATAAAATCTGAATCTTCATCATACTGAAGTCATTCACCCAAAGAAACAAAGCTAATACTTTTGTTAAAGGTGCTAATTGATCTATTGAATTTATTTTGCTCCTATCAAACTAGGATTATTGTTTAATATTAATTCTTAAAACCTATGATTCATTGTACGGTTGAAATTACTGGAGTTGAAAAAAGAAGCATATTGCCTTGTAATTGGATAAAAAGGAAAAGTAAAAAATATGTCAATTTATATGATAATCTTATCTTCATTTTAATTTCTTTTCACATGTGAAAAGTAACCCATAATCGAAAGTAACAAGCTCATTACTACTATGATTGAATCCTTTAATATTTCTGTTTAAGATCTTGATAAAAATACTCTGTTTACATTTGATAATAATAGTATATGAGAGAAAGTAACGAATAAAACTCGGACATGTAATGATTAAATTCTCATCCTTATGTTCATTTACAAAAATAAGGCAATCAAACTCATTTTCCAATATAAGTACACGTTGTTTTGTTTATTGCGAAAAGGCTACAAAAACCAAAGATTTCAATCATGATCTTGCAAGAATTATTATAGGATTGATTTGGTTATAATCTTTTAAATAATTAATATTTATCGGCTAAAATGAAAAATGATTAAACAGAATCATAGTGATAGAATTTAAATTGATGTGAATTGGTTTTTGTTCACTCCTAAATTTCATAGTCTTGTAATTGCATCAAACTTACCCAGTGTTTTAGATAAATATCACTTCAAAACATTTTCAACTTGGTTAATTAAGATTAATTAAATACTTATTTGGTGAAAGATCTATCAAACTTTAATTCAATTTAAAATTGTTGTTTTTCTTCTAAAGGTTCATATATAGCTTGTACAAACCCACTTTCTCTTTTTTCTTTTTTTTTTCACCCTTAATCATGTGAAATTATTAACAAAATATAAGGAAAAAAATCATGTATTTTTTGCCTTGAAAAGAATCATGTTAGTATGCCTTTTTTTTTGGGGGGGGAGGGGGTGAGGGGGGTTCAGAAAAGGAGCAAATTATAAATTTAGAAAAGAATTATATTAGCATTCAATGATGTGGACTTCAGCTTGGAAAAGTGCTTAATTTCGTTTTCGGATTGAAGATTGAAAGAACAAACTAATGTTTTCAATCGTGTGAAAACTTGCATAAGGTCTATGAAAATCGAACAAAAGGTCGATATATCGTGCGAAAAACGGGGAAATCGAACGATCACTTGCTTTAAGTCTGTAGAAATCGAACGTTTACGAATTTAATCGGAAAATTTGACTTCAATGTTGGAAAATAGTACAACTATAGAGAGTAACTTCATTTTTTTAAAGAAAAAACAACGTCCATACATGGATAATGAAGTGATCGATTTTTTAAGTCTAAAAGTCCTTCTCATCTACTCAAATGATGGATTAAAAAGAGCCTGTTAAAAATCTATCACTTCATTAAAAAAATGAAAAAGCAATTTACATCTCGATACCGCTCGAACCCTTGCAAAAGTCCACAAAAATCGAGCGATAGCTTATGATAATGATAAATTAACATTGAAACCATCCAGATTAATGTTGATTGAAAATGACCATATGACAGTGATCAATGAAAGTTTTGATGGAAAAGAAAGTGACATCTTGCATTATATACATGCATCCTTATCTCTATACTAAAGAAACATGCAATCCAGCTAAAACGTGAATATTCTTGCAGTCCATATTATAATTCTAACAAAACATAAAGAATAGGATGATGAATTATTATGTTTTCGAGCATTTGATTTAATGATAAATTTGTAGATTTAAAAAAAAAAAAAGGTTAAATTTGAATCTTCAATTCATTGGATTCGATAAAAAAAAAAAAACGCAAAAGAAAAAGAGAATCATTACAGATTTTGCTGTTACATGAGAAATAAGAACCTATTTGGTTCCTTTTTCCTCGTTTCAACTTGCCTGCCTTGAAAATATATGCTTGTTTGCGGTTAGTTTTTCTTCTTTATGTTATCTATTTCAGTACTTTCATTTGTAAAGAAAAAAAATACAACTAAGAATTAGTCAAAAAATTTAAGCCTAGCTACCATCATGGCCAGATTCTTCAAAAACCAAGTACTTATAAGTTAGAAAATATTAAAACTAGAGCCCAAGCCAAGAAATCAGCCTTTTCTCATATTACACGAGAAAGAAATCACTCATTTTAGTATCAAATTTGATCTAAGCATAAACTTTTTTCTTTGAAAATAATGTAAAATAAAATCAATTTTTTAGTCTCAAGATCAAGAGAAAATATATAATGATGTCCCATAAGGGTAAGATATTATTTCAAGATTAAGGTTAATGAAATCTCGAATTTAAGATTGATGGTCCAAGCTGCCTTTCCATCGGTCTAGCTTAAGGACCATGATGGGTTAGAGGGACTGATCGTGTTGCCCAAACTATTCGAAGGGAAGAATCAAAAACCCAAAATATCAATGGCAAAAGAAAAAGTTTTGCCGTATTTCAGTTGAAACACTAAATTTTCAAAACCAATTTTATTTTGGTTATTGATAAATGAATGAAATAAAAAAGAAAAGAAAAGAAAAAAGATAGAGTGAGACTAAATCTGCAAGAGAAAGTAATTAACCTTACCATGTGTGAAAAGAAGGGTTGAAAGATCCAAGCGTCAAAATCATCATCATTGAGAGAGAGAGGTAGAGAGAGCAGGTGGTTCGAGGAAGCTGCGAGGAAATGGGTTTTATTTATAAGCAGCGAAAGATGGCAATGGCAGGTGTCGTTTTCTTTTTTAGTCAAGAGCTGTAATGTAATTATACCTACTAACAAGGGTTTAATTTTTATCAAGTAGGTATGGACTTTGAATTTTTAATTTTAATGATTAAAATTTAAATTATAATAATTTTAAATAAAAAATAAAAAATGAAGGGATGAAGATAATATAAGAGAGCAACAGAGAGAAGAAAAATGAATTTCCCCTACTTAATTTTGGTTGAAGAGATTAAAAAAACAATATATTAAGTAAGGACCAAAAGCCTATAAATAAATTAAATAGTAATTAGTTTTATTTGAACATAAGTAAATGGGATTCGACTTTCATTAAAAAGATTTAAAAGTTGTAAATTATTTTATTTTCCTTTAATCAAATGATGAAAAAAAAAATACTTTTTTACAGAAGAGATTATAATTTTAAAATAAAAAAATTATAGATATTGAAATTTAATCTCAAAATATAATTTTTCAGGATCGAAAAGAATAATTATTTTATGTACCTTTTCCTTCATATTTGTGCTTATAATTTGCTGTAACATATTCTTTAAATATGAAGAAATATTATTCACTTCGTTATTGTTTCATCACTACTCCCTCAAAAGTCTCCCTATTTACTTGAATTAATAATTTAAGTTAGCTTGCCGACATTTTGAAACTTGCAAGTTGCAATAACTTATCACATAGTACTCTTCCATAGGCTTCCACCATTAAAAGATCACTGGACCACAAAACAATGAAATGGAATATATGATAATACAGAATTAAAGCATATTAGAATATGTTAACTCATGTAGCGATTCATAGCTAAATTAGATTGAAATCGCATCATCATTGTCTTATTTTATTTTCTCTATTTTCCTCATTAATTTTTTAATCTTTTTAATTATTATTTTTCAAAAACCCTAATTTATTTATCAAATTAAAGCGATAGATCAACAGCAAAGGGCGAACATATTTCTAGTTGCTATGATAATTGTTGGAAAATTGAAAGAGCGGATGTTAGTTATAGATGCAACCTGAAATAAAGATTGCATCGTCTTGATGAAACGCAATCTCCAAAATTCCATGGCTCTTCTTTGTTTAAAAAAACACTTCTTTTTTGGAGCTATAAAAGCACTAACATGCAAAGCAGGGGTTGTTTCATGATTACAATAGCAAAAGCAGTGCTTGTGTCGAATCCACCAATTAATCCTGCTCAGCTTGGTTCACCATTTTGCCACTGCTAGTATTTCCAATGCATTAAATTAAAGCTGTTTAGCTGCACTTTTATACCCAGCAAATCTTGTTTCTCCTTTGCAAATACTAGAGTTCTCATTAAACCTCAAATCTATTTCTTGTTTATTGTTCCAGACAAGGCAACCACGTTGAGCTTATTGCACCAAAGACAGTTCTTTTACATCCTCATTATCTCTCGACTACTCTCATGATTGAGAATGGAGTTTTCATACCAAAAGAAAGCGCTCAAACTTTACAATACTAACCCTAGAGGCAACCAAGGCAGCTAATCCACAATTCCTACGCTTCTTTGGTTGTGTTTTGATTCATAACATAGTCAAAAGTGACCCAGAAACAGCCTTCTCAGGAAGGGTTCTCTCTTTATTCGAGCACAGCAGTTAGCACGATATAGTCGGTTTATTTAAATCCCACATTACTAAGCCAACGTAAAATGGAGCGAGAAGCTGCTTTTAAAGAAAGCGGGTTTACAAAGAACAGTTCCTACCTTTCTCGGCCTTTTGGCTAAGATCAAGTGTAGTATCTGTTCTTATCAGTTTAATATCTGATACGTGGGCCAACGGTCCACATGATATTAAATTTATTTTTAGAGGGGAAGAGTTCACTACAATAGCTTGCTATTGGGGCTCTTGAGTGTCTCCCAAGCGTTGCACTGCGGCTAGGGTCTGGCGCACCCCGCCCAATGGAAGTTTAAGTTATTGGGGCAGTTAGATACCAAATCTTTGGGGTTTAGGTTGAACGTTGCTGAGTGACAGAGTAGGTAGCCATTTATAATTTAAGAGTTGCGGAGTATGTAGTGCGAGAAATTAGCGTTAAAAATTTACTTTAGACTAACTAGGTGTTGCATGTGCATCCTGGGAAGAAATTTTAATAGACATGGAGTAGTTCAATGACTGCTTTAGTAGGCAAAATTTTGCCTCACCCATCAAATAAAACTTAGAAGCATTTAAGCTAAGAAATGCTGCCTTGTTGCAATGGAAAGTGTTCAAATCCTCGTACCAATTTCCCTGTTGGCTCTGACTTGGTCATTTACCACTGCGTCTGATCCTAGACCTCTTCAGGATTTGTGTAGCCATCGAGGATGCCAAAAATGGTCGTATGTTCACCCTTTAGTTTGGTTTGAATATATTCTAATCTATGTCAAAATTAAAGAACATTCAGCAAAGAACCAGAATATGTAAACAACTATACAATCCAAATAAAATCTCTTATCTTATATTTCGATCATTCATACAGTGGTTTGTTAATGGGAAGTTTTGCAAGGATTCAAAGAATGCCAAAACAGAAGACTTCTTGTCAGGATTCATCATGCCTGGAAACACATCAAATGAACAACGATCAAAAGTCACTCCTGTCAATGTTGAACAAATACCAGCACTTTAACTCTCTTGGCATATCTGTGTCACGGGTCGAGACTCAACCTCCGAACCCGTGTGGCTTCGTGACCCGGGCATTCACCCTTCCGGCGTCTCAGATTAGTCTTCCTGTTACGGTTCATATCTTTGTGAGGTATTGTCCGTTCTAGCCCCCTTGGCCTCACGGTTTTATCTTATAAAAAACGCCTCACAAGGCGAAAGTGGTGTGAACACTTTTATACCCCAGTGACCTTCCTATTATGTTCGATGTGGGATTCAGGACTCATCCTTAGGTTCGTGATATTCTCTCGCACCCAACCTCGTGACGCCCTCGTCATGGAGGCTGGCCACCCCGCTTACCTCCCTCGAGGTGCTTGGCGTGGATCGAACGGTTTAAGGCTGGCTTTGATACCATTTGTTACGGGTCGAGACTCAATCTTCGAACCCGCACGGCTCCGGAACCCGGGCATTCACCCTTACGGCGTCCCAGATCAGCCTTCCTATTACGGTTTACACCCTTGTGAGGTATTATCCACTCTGACCCCCCTTGACCTCACGATTTTATCCTACAAAAAACGCTTCACAAGACGGAGGTGGTGTGAACCCTTTTATACCTCAGTGACTTTCCTATTATGTTCGATGTAGGATTCATGATTCATCCTTAGGTTTGTGACATATGCAACTTGTGGCCTAAACCCTCCTCATACCCTCGGGCCACAGAGATCCAAGTAGTCCTGGAAGGCACACTCTATGTTGGCTTTGTTACATCCCACATAATAGTCTCATCACTACAAGTCCTATACCCTAGAGATGTTTACATTTTTCCAATTGATCTAATTCACTTCCAGTTCAATATATAGGGAAACTAATGCAGTTGCCTTGCGGTCTCAGCAGCCAGAATCCCGGTGCGATTACCATTGCAAATGCAGTGTTGGGATAACTACCAATTAAACCTGATGTTCTTGCCAAGACTTTCCAGTTAGACTAAGAATGTGCTTTACCTATCTTCGGTCACGTTTCTAGTGGAATAACAATTAGAGCATTAATTGTTTTCAACAGACTTGAGATATTGAAGTAGTGGCTTATTTCTGATGATGACAGGTTTTCTCATTGTAGAAAATTAGTTCTTGCTGAGTTCCTAAATGTGTGAATATTTGGATGAATACGCATAAAAATTAGTTGCCCAGATCACAAGAAACATAAAAAATTTCCAAAAAAAAAGGCTGTTCTGATTCTTCTAAGATGGATAAATTAAGAAAATAAGAAAGCAGCAACATACACTGGGCACAAAGATTTACAAAGCCAAAGCTCGTTTTTCTCCTCGGAAGAAAGTGTTTCCCTTTTTAGTGTACAGAGAATCCTTGGATGGCTAGAAAGATATTTATGCAAAGACAAGATCACCATTGTTTAAAATGAGTGAAAATCAATGATCCAAATACGCATTGCAGAATAGATGGAGAGAAGCTGATGTAAGAGATTTCAACATGTTACAATTTCAAGGTTAAAATTTGGTCTTGAAGGTAGTGGAACTCAAAGTTTTGATATTTATTTAATACTTAAATTGTACAAGAATTTGCTTCAAGGATATAGGTTTCTACGTTCACTTGTTTCTTGAATAACAAACATGGCCTAAGAGGGAGATTTGAGGAAAACAAGAAAATGCTGAAACTCATGAATGAATCGTAGAGAAAACCACTGATGAAATCATCAGAGCTAATACACATCTCTATTCCCCATATTCCTTCATTGCACACAATCGAGTTTCATCAGAGCATTTTTCCTTTTATTCCACATTCCGCCGCGAAGACGAGACAGGAGAGTGAGCTAAAATCTGATACGTGGGCCATTAGTCCACACGATATTAAATTTTTTTTTAGGGTGAGAGCCCATTTACAAGAGCTTGCCATTGGGGCTCTCAAGTGTCACCCAAACGTTGCACTACAGTTAAGGCCTGGACACCCCACCCAATAAAAGTTTAAAGGGTTGGGCTAAGGCCTAAAACCCACTCTCTATCATCCCTGAGGCAAAGCCCCAGGTTTGCAGCATTAAATTTCCTGAAATGCCCATATAGTCTGGGCTGGTCATGGGTTGGGAGGATCCATGCAATAGACCCTGAAGGATGTCTGAAGCCCAAGGTAGCCTATGCCATCTGTCATTTTGTGAGGAGATAAACATCAACATTCCAAAAGTAAATTAGAGGTTGCTGGGTTATCTTCACAGAAAGTGAAATGCAACCAACCAAAACCAATTGCCTAATACTCATTGCAAGAAAAGCAAATAAAAACTCCATATTTAAATAGAAACCGTTTTGACATGAACTGTACTATGCAATTGAAGCATACAAAATGATTGGTAAAAGAACTATTTAACCTAAAAATGTCCTCCAACACAAGACAAGTTTAGAGAAGAAAAAAAGAGAGGACACCATTCTTTTTGTCCACCCTTTTTTACCTCTAAACTCATTTCATGATCTTTTCCATATCATAATCCACAATCAATTCCCTCTCCTCTGTCTGAAAGGTACCAGAAAAAACATCTTATTTCATCATGTTTTAATGTCAATCTCAGTTTCTTAATGGTTTTCTTTGTCTTGTTGTTCTTTACAATATGTAAGTTGGTGAGGATTTCTCGTATTATTCTTCTTTGGATGAAATAAGTTTCCGATCAATGTTACGTTCTTAACATTGAACTATTCAAGTTTAATCTTTGTTGTCCCGTTTCTTTTTGACATGTTCTAGATTCTTATAATTTGTGGTTTTACTTCTGAGAAGAAACAAAGCATTCATTTGTTTTGTTTTCCTAACATTAGAGAATATTATTTTTGATACATTAGGAGAAGGTCAAGGTAAGTTTGTTGCATATGATTATGAAGAGAAAAAGATATTTATATTCTTATTTCTTTGTTTGTGAATTTGAAGTAGGTTCTACAGAAAGATGGGGGATAGGATGGTAGGTACATATTGGTGTTACATATGCTCTCAAATGGTGAATCCAACAATAGAGCCTGAGATCAAATGCCCTTTTTGTGAGTCCGGATTTGTGGAAGAAATGACCAGCATACGACATTACTCCAACACCAATGGCAGTGATTCAGGATCAGTGAACACTCTTTCCCTTTGGGCTCCAATCTTGCTTGGTTTGATTGGTGGTTTAGGTTCTTCGCGGTTGCGTATCACAGGCAGGGAGCAAATCAATGATAGCAACCCACAGGATGCAATGGATGATGAACTAGGAAGAGAATTTGAATCCTTGCTTAGGAGGAGGAGAAGAAGCTCAGCTTCAGCTCTTCGGATGCTTCAGGATATGCGTACTGGAGCAGCTTCTGAATCAGAGACTTCCGAAAATGGTAGAGATAGGAGTGGTAGAATGATCTTATTTGATCCATTCAATGATGAAGCCTTAATTGTTCATGGTTCATTAGGTTTTAACCAGGGACAAAACTCAAGTCATAGGGCAGCCAGTACCAGCAGCTCTTTTGGTGATTACCTGATGGGACCTGGTTGGGATCTTTTGTTACAGTATTTGGCAGAGAATGATCCTAACCGCTATGGAACCCCACCAGCACAGAAAGAAGTAGTTGAAGCAATGCCAACTGTTACTGTAGAGGACAATGTGCAGTGTTCTGTATGCTTGGAGGATATTGAGAGTGGAAGTGAAGCAAAGGAGATGCCATGTAAACATAAATTCCATGGTGGGTGTATTACTCCATGGTTAGAACTGCATAGCTCTTGCCCAGTATGCAGGTACCAGCTGCCTTCGGACGATTCCAAGATTGAGGCAAATGTCACCAGAAATAATGAAGGGAGAGTTGGCACTAATGATGCCCAAAGTGGTAGCAGGGTAGGAGCTGGAAGAAGGTATTGGATCCCTATTCCATGGCCTTATGATGGTTTACTCACCTTACCAGGTTCCCAAAGTGATTCTACTTCAGCTCCCTCATCGGAGGCTATGCCAGGAAGTGCAAGTGCAGCTCAGACAGATGATAATTGACAACATTTACCCTTCAGATTACTCTGTTAAGTATTCCTGGCCTAGCCAGAATTTTCTGCAGCATGTTTTGCTGCATTTATCATTCAGGTGGTCTCTTTGCTGCTGTTGTAACTTTGTTTTATTCCAAAAATGAAAAAAAAAAAAAGATTTTATTTATATATTGTATCAATAAACTCTTGAGAATTGATAAAAACAAAAAAGGATGAATTGATTAAATATTTCCTTTCATGAAATTGCAATGACATAACACTCATGTAAAATTGTCCTCCAACACTCAATCAAACTTGTTTATTAAAGCTACCAAAATTAAGATAGAAAGAAGGTGTCACTAGCTAGAAGCCGCAAAAAATCTACTCAGTCTCTATCAAACTGTCAAGATCTTAATCACTGAAGGGTGCAATGTCACAACTGAATCTCCAGGTTTGCAAAGTCCCTTTGCCTTTGCATATTGAAGGGCAAACTTGGTTGTTTCCTCAGTAGACTCAGTGTATGAAGCTTTTGCAGAGCCAGAGTTCAAAACAGGGATCAGACCCCTGAAAATAAGGCAATGCCTTGCTGGAGCTTCATCACTGCAAGACCACTCAAGGGAATCTGTTGTTATCTCTGGGATGATAATAGATAAAATTGGTATACTTGGCCTATACTTCGCCACCAGCTTTGCTGTGGTTCCACCTTTGGTTAGGACCAAAATTAGAGATGCTTTAATGCAATTAGCTGTCCTCACAGTTGAGGAAGCTAGACTTTCTAATGGGCTCATAGGCACTGGTGCACTTACCATTATTCTCTTGAAAAGATCTCCATAGTTTATAAAGTTTTCTGCCTCCATGCAAATTCTAGCCATGGTTTGAACAGCAAGGTCAGGGTATGATCCAGCTGCAGTTTCTCCACTTAGCATCACACAGTCAGTACCATCAAGAACTGCATTGGCAACATCAGTTGCTTCAGCTCGAGTAGGCCTTGGAGATTTGATCATAGACTCCAGCATCTGAGTTGCAGTTACCACAGGCTTTCCTTGTATATTGGCCTTATGAATCATCAATTTCTGAGCCAGAAATATCTTCTCAATTGGGATCTCCATTCCCAAATCACCTCTTGCAACCATAAATGCATCTGAATTTGCCAGAATTTCATCAAAATTACTAACCCCTTCTTGATTTTCAACCTGCAAATCCACAAAAAAAAGAAAAAAGAGGAGGAAGTTAAAATGGGGAAAAACACATTAAGTGCTAACTTTGTCAGCATGTATTCGACGAGACTACAAGTCTCATTGTCTGTTAAAAACAAGACAAACCTTTGACATGAGAAGAATGTTCTTTCCATGCTCTCCCAGCAGCTTTCTGACCTCTACAAGGTCTAAACCTTTACGAACAAAAGACAAGGCGATCATGTCTATCTTATTTGGAACACCCCATTGCAGGATATCCTCTTTGTCCTTCTCTGTTAAGGTTGGAAGATCAACCACAACCCCAGGAAGATTAACATTCTTCCTTTCACCCAGAACTGCAGAGTTCTCACAACGGCAATGTACCAATCCCAATTCCTTGTCACAAGCCAAGACAGTGAATGTAATTGTCCCATCAGAACACAAAACAACACTCCCAGGTTTCAAATCTTCAGCCAACTTTTTGTAACTCATACCGATCAGATTCTCATCACCCTTTACGCTATAGTCAGTTGTGATAGTAATCTGTTTACCCTGAGTAAGTTGTATGGGCTTACCATCCTTCAAAAAACCAGTTCGAATCTCTGGTCCCTGAAATATTTAGAAAATAGTTAAAAAAAACATTTTCACGAAAAAATTCTCCTGATTATGCCCTACAGCTTCAACAATCCTACAAGCCAAGTAACTACAGGCTACACCATTATCCTTGAAAAGGAAAAAAAAAAATGACAATGCGGCAAGGTAATGCTTTTCTGAAATAAAGTAAATTCATTGAAAGGAAGAAAGCTATTTTTAAAAAAAAAGATTAGCTTGAGCCTTGAAGCATGATAAAAGTTCCAATCTAAGAAAAATTAATTGCCTTTTAGTAGAGAACATGAACAGGCATAATCTTTTTCCATTGCTTTGAAACTTGGACAACAAATAGTACTCCATTAATTATCAACAAAAACACCCTTTTCAGTACACTTAAATCAGAAAGAAAACACTGCAATTCAAACCAAACCAAAGAACTTTACAACATTAATCATAGTAACAATCCATAAATCAAACACAGACTAAAACAAGAACCCGAAAAGAAAAACTTGAGAAAAACAAACCATATATAAACGAGAGTTGCCAAAAGAAAAAAAAAGGGTACCTTAGTATCCAACATGACAGCACAAAGATAGCCAGTGTTGATCATGGCAGTCCTTAGATTATCCAAGGTTTCCTGGTGGTATGCATGGGAGCCATGCGAGAAGTTGAAACGAGCAACGTTCATGCCAGCTTTCAAAAGCCTCTCAATCATCTCAACCGACCTTGAAGCTGGTCCTAAGGTGCAAACGATCTTTGTCTTCGGCCTCACCATGCCCTTTCCTCCGCTTAGCTCGTTCTCCATAGCTAAGGAAAAATTAAAACCAGGGTTTAGGTTAGCGTTTAGTGATGGAGGATTAATGGAGGTTTTGAGAGTTTGTATTTTAATGGATTTGACTTGAAGTTTTGTTTTATATAGAGTTTTTATTTTAGTAAAAAAAAAAAAAAGCCCTTAATGAGAGTCCTAATTCCTTAGGAATCAAGAAAAAAAGTTTAAAATTTTATTTCCTTTTGTTAACTGATGTCTTCGTTGACTACCAAACCAAATAACAATATAATTATTAGGAAGAAATAACTGCATTAATGATTTCTTGTTTCTTAAATAATGAAAATTTTATTAGTATTTTGTTGTCAATTTTCAGTTTTTTTGCAATATAATTTATTTCTAACTTTCAAAAAATACACCATGTATGGTATAGGCTTATAATAATATAATTAGTTGCTATTAAGTTTATATTAGTAGTAAAAGAACCAAAATTTTTTTTATTTGGTCAGCTAAGAAACTATTTTACTAGAATTTTAATATAAAAGTATCAAATTATTGGTCGTTTTTATTATATATGTGTCCAAAAATTGCTGACCTTAATTAATTATATTGGTTTTTTTTTTTTTTTTTGCAAAATTTGGTTTTGGTTTCTTATGCATATATACATATATATATATATATATAAAAAAATTAGTATAAAAGGGATAGTGATTTTAAGATAGAAAAAAAATTACAACTATTAAAATTAAAATTTGATCGAAACATTTAAAAATGATTTCATAATTCAATTGAACTAAATTATTCTAATTTAAAACCTGTCTTGTTGCTTATTTAATAGCTAAATTATTTGCTTGATCAGTGGAAAAATGGAATTCCATAGTACAGCATTTAAGAATTTAAAAATGAAGATCTTCATCCAATAAGACACAATTTAGAATATATACAAGCCCAAATATAGTTCTTCACAATCTCAGGTTTCTTTCACTAATAATGTAAAGTATAATTCCTTCATACACCACTTTTCTTTAAATTCTGGCATTAGATTTTATGTTATTATTTTTTTAAGAGAAATTTTGAGTAAATAGATTATTTAGTTTTATAAGTGAAAACAAAATATGTCGTACTTAATAACTTAAGAAAATTATTGCTGATCGTGTATTTAAAATGATCCTAACAAATGATTATTTGCAAGATTCGAATCTAATATATTTTCATCGAAAAACAATGAATCTTAATCAATTGAATCAATTATTTATTAGTACATTAAATTTTATTTTAGTGGCTTGGAATAGCTTGAACCCCTTTCAACAATTTTAATAAACCACATATTCCAATGAATATTTGTTATCGCTAATGGCAGTTTTTTCTAGTATTTTTTCATATCTTTGAGAATTGCATCAAAGGCATCAAAATCTTGAACTAAGTTCTTCCCATTCGAGAAGGGAAATCAACATTATTATAATTTTCATTCAAAAACAACATAACTCTTATTGCTAAAATGTAGCATTGCTCCGGCAAAGGCGGAAAAGTAAGGGTATTTAACCAGAAGACCAAGTGCTGAAAAAATGGTCAACTGTTTAACCTGAAGTTACCAAGGTTCTGTGTTGAATAAAGAAGTTATTATCCTTCAAAAAAATCTAATCTTTTGATAAAGTGTTGATAAAATGTTGCTCTGTTAGTTCCAGATCAAGTTTCAAATCTTAATAGTCTAAATATAAATAAAAAATAAATAAAATTGTTCTGCAATCTGCATCACTAACTGCAAACAAAAGTTGGCACTCTGGCATTTTATCAGTGAGTGAAAATGAAGCATAATAATAATAATAAAAAAAAAAGCATAAATGCTTTGTCCCCTAGTTGTTATGGTATTCACTATATTCAGAAATCACATGTTCTTATGTCTGGTCTTTAACTTTTTTTTTTTTTTTTTATACTTAAGATTAACAGTATTTGACTCCAATTATAAAAATTAAAATTTTAATATTTTATTAAGAAAATATATCACGCTGTCCCAAACAGGGAGCATGAATAACTCCACTCAATTCTTGTACTTCATTTTACTCTGGCCGTATCTTGTCCTTTGAGAGAATGTTATGGAGTTCTAAACAAATAATGATACTTGCCCTACACAGCTTTTGACTAAATTATAGTTTCTTGTAGTATCGATAATTTAAAATACAATAAAATAATATGATATAAAAAAATTAGGAAAATATTATAATTTAAATTTTTAATAAAATTACATATGAAAATAAAAATATATATTTTATGTTTTATATATTAATATAAATTATAATATTTAATTTTTATATAAAATATAATAAAATATATAAACTATTAATGATTTTCACGACAGACAAATTATCCGATATTAATAATGACAAAAATCTTAATCCTGTTTCTCAACTGCAAAAGAAATACAAAAAATTACAAGAAATGATAAGAGTTGTCAGAAGTCGGTAACTGGGTTGGATATGATAATAATAGCCATTATCCCTCCCATTTTTGGATTATTAAATTATTTTTATTTTTATATCAATATTTAATAAATATTTTAAATTTTTTTTATCTGCATAAATATTTAATGAATATATATAATCTCCACACATATAACTTTTTTAAAAAATAAAAATAATTTTTTCTTTAATTTTTAAATTTTTAACTTTTATATTTAGATAATTTTTTAAAAATATATATTAATATATATTTTTTTTAATAAAAATATATTAATTTTGATTAATCTAAAATAATAACTTATATTATTTAATAAAAATTTATTTACTAAATATAACATAAATATATATGTAAAGTATAAATATATAACAAGTGTTATATTATTAGTCTCCATTTTATACCTAAAATAAATTTAAAATTATACATATTCTCGTTCCTGTACCCATAATATAATACAATCTTTATCTCTATTCGAGTAATCAATAGGGATAAAATTGACATCCCCAACCGGAAGTTAAGGCAGAAAAAAATTTTGGTATATCTGTGGCAAATTGCAATCAGCTTCAAGTCTCTGATCCATTCTTTGAGAGAAACTACAGCTGTTACATGAAGTTCGCACATAGACAAAGATATCAGTTAGTTTCTCCGAAACAAAGCATGGAACACGATGAGACAACCAGCCAAGTATGATGTTTAGAGCTTGACCATTGAAAGAATCAATATTCTGTCCAAATACCCAGGATGATGTCAAAGATCATCATGACTCCATGGTTGTTCTCAGTTCATGGATTCTAGTTTCTGTTTGTGCTCCTGCCAGATCCACCATTCTTATAGAAGATACAGAATAAAAGCAAAAAGTGAAGTGCCTATTTATTACAAATTGCCACAAAGAAATCATAAACATCTAAAAGCAACGAAAATAGGGTAAGAGATGAGTAGAACCAAGTCATCAAGACAAAAATGCAAAAAGCCTCTTTATTATTTAACATATAACATAATACTCATTGCAGAAAAATGAATAAATATCAACATAAACCTAAATTATAAAAGGACCCAAAACGGGAAAAGCTTGTGTCCTGAAACATTACAACATTTCAAGGTAATGGGCTTCTTCACAGGCAAACCTTTATCTCTATCTTTCTCTCTGAAATGAAATATATGTGAAATAAATGCTATATATATATATATAATTACAAAGTAGAGGAAGTCCTGGACTTATGCATCTTATCTTCATGTGAAGATGGAGGCAATGAAGAAGACGAGAATGCAGCATGGTAAGAGGAAGAAGCAAGTTGAGCAAGGGCTGGAACAGCACCACCTGTGGGATTTTCAAACGAGATACCATCAGAGTTGTCATGCCGCAACTATAAGTCCAAACAAATATTATTTAATGAAGAAAGATTTCTCCAGGATGGTGTTATAATCCTATCTTTTCAGGGAATGAATAATACATACTCAATGGAGATTCCAGAATGCCAAACAAACAATCCACCGATAACAAGAGTTTGTCATTAGTATCTTTCCACATGGGTTTTACTACTAACAAAACATTTAGCCAATGGATTTCAGGTGGAGGAAGGTAAAACATTATATTGTTGACCATTGCTTTTTTGCAACTAGGTTTAGTAAAGCACAGAGGCATTCCCATGACAATAATAGAATATATTTTCAAATATTTTGGGAGAAGAACATCAGGAAATATTTGAAGCACACAATTGCCTTAGACACTCTTCAAAATCTCAATAAAGAAACAACAATCAACTGGCTAGGCAACCTAATGATATGAACATATTCATAAGTAAAATACCAAAGGAGCTTGGCATACATGAAAAGACGAAATAATAATTTATTAAAAAAAAAGCTCCTTTTTGTGCACAAAATAGTCCTACTAAGAAAGTCTCAAATAATTTAAGTCAAAAATACATAAGATAGCCATTTAAGAGAAATTTTCTAACCTGCTAACCCTGCACAAGCAGAAGAAAACACTATCACAGGTGGTGCCTACATGTAAATAAAGAAGAGTTATAAGTTATCCTTTTTCCATTGAGAAGAAAATATAAGCATACCATGCAGTAAGAAAACTTCAGCCTAAATTATGTTCATGAAGTGAGGGGTTGGAAGATGAGTGCTGAACCAGCAGGAATAGCCATAAACCAATTGGTTTTTGACAAGCAGGCAGCATCACAAGAACATGAAAATGTGTTAACCTTGACAAAGAACTCATCCAAAGCATTAATGGGCAGTAATCACCATTGACTTGGTCATGAGTCATGACTACCAACAAGGTGCAGTAACTAAACATGGACAGTATACATCTTATCAGTTATCATAATAGAATGTAGTTATTTGATGAACACAACAAAGGAATCTAAAATACAGTAAAGTGATATAAAATAGCAGACCACGAGTCCAAGTAATGAACAACACCTTAGAGACCTTGGAACAACATTCATAACATTGAAAAACTTGAGGATAGGAGAGTTCAACTAGCTCTTGACTCTTCAGTCGGGGTTTATTAGGGGAAGGGGGGAAGAACTTTAAATTAAGTCATAGGATTACCAAATAAAACAGATCCTATCCTCAAGAGTATTCTCATATCTTAAATGTAAATGAATACCCAAAGACTACAAACCAACTCAAACAATACATTGATAAACCAAGAGATTTGGCACATAAAGAACTTACACCAACGAGAAAATGCACCCACATGGGTCCCTTTACCCACCTCCTGACCATTGGCATCACTGCACCAAAAAACACAAGTCAGAAAGACAAACTAAACTCTGTTCTCCACATGTAGGGAAATGACTTCTATTATGACCAGATAGAGTTATCGAGTACATCAACTAGACAACAAACAGCAACAACTATGCATAGTAAATGCATAAAATAAATAATAGCAATATACCAACAGAATAAATTTCATGATTCATATTTCAAAGGTAGGACAAGTGAAAACCAACAGAATAAACAAGGAGTTGCATTATGTAAAAATCAATCCTTGACAGGAAACAGTAAACGTCAAAGACATTTGAAAGTTAACTCTTCTAAGGCAACATGGAAACTATTGTCCCCTTAAAGAAAGACCTTTTATGGCATTGCACAAAGATACTCCATTAAAGAAGCCATGACAGTTACATAGAAACTCAAGTTACAGCAATATAATCGAATCAAATGAACTGAACTACATCTAGGGAGTGAAAAAAGAAGAAGAAACATATCAATATACCATGGTTGAACCCGTAGAATGCGCTTGTAGTGCCACCAACAGCTGAGCCAATCTAAAATAACAACCATAAACACAAAAAATAAGCCACCCTCCAAAGCATAAACATACAAAATAAAAGATGACGCAAAAACTGCAACAAACATAGTAATATTGGAAACCCAGTTTTATTAAACTGAAAAAGTATCCAAATTTCCAAAATACAATCAAAGAAAAAGCCAAAAAAGGGTTAAAAACATCGGCAAAACAAATCCCATATCCCCACAACCAAAAAAAAAAAAAAAAAAAGAAACAACATATAGAAAAAAAAATTTTACCATAGAAAAACTATCCCTCACAAGAGGAGCAACAGTCCATTCACTTGTTTCCTGCACCATTAAAAATTAAATCTTTTAAAATTAAAAAATAAAAAAAGGAAAAATATGTAAGTAAAGTTTATTACCATCTCTTTGGAAAGAGGGCCAGCGCAGTGATGACAGCGCAAATTGGATCTAGCGTTAGAATTAGTCATTGCTCTTTTTCTTTTTTTTTTTGCTTTTTTCTAGTGTCTTGGAGACCAAATACAAAACCCCTCCATAAACATAAACGCCTCTGAAGCTAGATAATAGGGGTTTTAGGGAAGGGGAGATTTGGCTAAGTCAGGAGGAGAATAGACAGAAGTGGCTGCCACATGGTATTTGACCTGACATTGATACGTGAGCGAAGGGCCCAAAGCAAATAGAGACTTCTGGTTGTTTGTTTGGGCTCTTGGATATGCTTCTACTTCAGCTCTTTCGGCTACTTGGGCTTCAACTTTTTGGGTTTTGGAGGTTTTTGATTGGTTAATTCTTTTCATTTGTGAAAAAAAAAATCATAACCCAATCATTTGAGAAAAATTGTTTCAAAAGTATATATTAGTAAATTTTATTTAAGAATTAAATTTGAGACCTACTAATGATATTTAATAAATGATATCTAATAATTTTAAATTTTAAATTTTAATATTTATAATTTTTTTAAGTAAATAATTATTTAAGTATAGCCTTTTTGTATAACAAAATTGGTTATGAATTACTATCTTCAATTGTTAATATATGCATATAAATAATTATCCAACGAAATTTTATTATCTTCTCACTATGTTTTATAGATGTTTCGCTACAATATTGTTTTTATTCAAAATCATATATTTCCTTAAACTATCATGTAGATAATTATAATCATAAAAATGATTTAATTATCAATTAGGTTGTAATTAAGGCCAACCAATTATAATTCTTGTATTTATTTAATTCGGTCCAACCTCACATGGTTATAGCCACAGATTAATTATAGGCTAAAATAATAAAGAAGTCTATAAGCTTTTATAATTTTATTTAGATAAGTTTTTAAATTTTTATTATATTCAAATAATTTTTAATTTTTAATTTATATTCAAATAAATTCTTAATATTTAATTTGTATCCAAATAAATTTTTAAAATTTTAATTTATACCTAAATAAACTTTTAATATACATAAATCAATATCAAAATATTTTTAAATACAATAAAAAAATAAAAATTTATTTAAGAATAATAAAATAATTTTAAAACTTATTTAATATTTTAACCTTAAATATATTATCTTACAATAATTAAAAACTTGGATCAACAATAAGTTAAATATTTGTATCTTCTCATGACAATATATTAATCTCAAAAGTAAAAATGAATTTGTCTACTCAAAAGTTTACCTATATTCATTTCCTTCCACCAAATTCTTGCAAATTACAATAATTTAAGTATGTTATTAAAGTGGTGATATCCGTACATCCACTAAATTTTGTTTTGTATACTAATTTATATTCAAATTGAATTTTTTCACCTATAGTCAATTGCTTCTAATCATAATTTAGATCCTGTTTTGTGTTATTCACACCTTATATCCCTAAGTTGTAATTCTGCCAGAAAAGATTTATTAGGGGGATGCTATTCCAAATCTATTCAAGTCTTGAGTTGCCGTGATCTTATATTTTACATAGCCGTAAGATTTTAAGTTTTATGCTTACACGTGTATTGGGCTCCTTTTTGCCAAACCGAAGAAAAAGGCACGTTGAAACCATGGAAGGGCGCAGATACAAGTTTGAAGAGTAGGTTGAAACTTGAAAGAATAGCAGATGGATTATACTTACTGGTCCAACACCATGAGCTATGTAGGAACTTTCCGGAATCCTTAGCCATTAAGCCCCTTTCTCCTAGTGGAATTAGGTGTATAAATAGCACTATACAACACTTTTATGCATTGCGCAATTTCATCATCTTCATTGAATTTACAGAGAGCGTGTAAAGAGAAGAGAAAGAGAGATGCCGCCACCAGGATGGGGACCGCCGCCAGGAGGCCCGCCGGGGCCGCCCGGACTATGTGGCTGCTTTGATTTTTTTTGTGGTGGTGTTTGCCGTCTTATATCTTCATGGTGAGTTGCCATTTGATTATATTTGCAAAGAGTGAATTGAGGTTCAAAGTATATGTGGGAGTTTAACATAAGTTGTCTACATTTTGTGTGAATAGAACTTACAAATGAATCAAAAACAGGTTAAAAAGTTGAGATCAAATAGTGATGGAAGAAAATTTTCCACCTAGATCAAAGGAATCATCAATAATTTTCCTGATTATTTTATTTTATTTCTTTAGTGTATTCCTTTTATGTTATTATTATTATTATTATTATTATTATTATTATTAATATGCTAATTTGATTTTATTTTTGTGTATTCTAGTTTTTATGTGCTGTGCTGCTGCTGCATCTTTGAAAGCTGCTGTGGCCCAATGTTCGGTGGGCCACCAGGGCCACCTGGGCCACGTCCTTTTTAATTAGCTCATTTCAATTTTTCAACTTATTGTATTTTGTTTTGTGTTGTGTTGTGTATTAAATAAAAATCTAAATATGTGCTTTCTATTTTAATTATTTTTTGGATTTAAATTCTACTATTCCTGCTTGTTCTGTTTAGCTAAATGATATTGATGAAGGCTCATGAATCCTGATGGTGTGGGGGTGTTTTTTTCATTGAAAATGGATGGATATTGTATATTTTTTGGTTTTATTCAGTTTCACCAGATAAATTATATGGTAAATACAGGCTGATGGACCACCCTTTTATTTATTTCTTTATTACTTCTAAACTCTTAAAACTTGTTACTATGTTCCAAATAATAAAATTCATTGATGATCTTGACAGGAATTCGGATATATTGTGATTTGATAGGGGGATTATGAAGCATATTTTTCTTTCCCAAAAGATAAAAAAAGGCACCTTCATTAATCATTGAAAAAATAGTTATGAAAATTGGAATGCCTGACATAAAAAAAAGATTATTGAATAAAAGAAAAAAAATTTAAAATCATTAAGATAAGTCAATCTGCATATATGGACAGCTTTTGCACGTTTCCATACAACATTTGTGATGGCTAATTGGAAGATTTTCTTAGCCACACGAAAACAAAATTGCGAATATGTACCAAGGTTTTGCCATGGCATGGTTGTCTCTATCTTCATCTTCTTCTTCTTCTTCTTCTTCTTCTGCCTCTCTCAACCACTACAATAAAAGCCAGGAATATGTAAAGGGGGACACATCAGCAAAGCAATGAAGTTCATTTGACAATCATAGAAGCCGGATGTACAATACTAAAAACACTAGGAAACTAAAAGGTTGGTTCAATTTTTTACCTCTACGAGTTTTTCTGAACGCTTAAGAAACACTTTATCTGATTCATCTGCCCCTTCCTTCTCATCGGCCCACTTCAAAGTAGCATCTTCTTGTAGAATTTCTTTATCATATAGAAGATGCATTATCAAGTCAAGAAGCATACACATACATGAATAAAGGGCAATTGCCCTGCAAATTACATCATCAAAATGGTAGAGGAGCTAGACTAATTACCCAAGTTAGCAGCTTCACTGCCGTCTCTAGGTCTGCACCTACTCCCTTTCATTAATCAAATCGAGTTTACCATAAAAATTATTGAATGCTTACTGTGACAAATCATGGAGTAATGCACAAATGTCTTTTTAGTTGTTTGCCATTAAAAGGTTAACCATTTAATTGTGACATAGGCTACAGAAACTTTGTAAAAACCTTACTAGCCAGATCTTATCAACCAATCTCTCTCTGCACATTTAAACCTACTATATCTAGGTATGTTGTTAGAAATACCTGTGGAAACAAGGGGGAGAACGCATTGGCATATTCCAGGCATATTTCTTCAAATTTCAAGATGACCTCAATCTGTTAGGCAATACCAGAAAGTTTAGCACAAAATTGTAATAGGAAAAGTGTGCATTTCTAGAAACTGATTTTGACGTGGTATAAAAACTTAGAAGTCACCCCACCCATCCGATCGATGGTACAAAGAATGAAATTAGATGTAGAAGTCCAAAACAAGTATTATTCCTTCAGCTTGTAATTAATATTTAATCAGATAAAAGATACAGAAATTTCCACCAGATCAACAACACAAACCTCCTCATCTATATCATGCAGGAAAGACTTCAAAAGTTTTTGCCAAGTTGTGATTACATCCACGGCATTTCTATGCAATTCACCTATGCGAATAGATTGAAGACAAACAAGTTAGTGGTTACAAACATGTTAAGCAAGGAGATTGATGTCAATAATGAAAGATTAAGTGTTCTGTAGGTGTTTTCTCTTTTCTTTTTTAAGTGGGAATGAGCATAACTTGATTGACTACAGAGAAGATGTACACTTGTATAATAGACATCTCAGAATCACATTTTTTATGCAGAAACATAGCTGAAATAATTGAACAATTCAGCAGAAACACAGGAATGACATTATTGGTGCCAGTAGCAAAAGGTTTCAAGTTGTGTAGCTTAGAAAAAGTTAGAAACTTAGAATGGACCTAGGTTGAAGTCAAGTTTTAAAGTTCTTTCTGATTCTGGGAGAATCAATTATCTTACAGGTGATCAAACACAAACCGACAGAGAAAATGGATAAAAACTGTCTACACTAAAAGGTAACTATATTTCAGAATAAATAACTAATAAAGAACAACGTGATGTTAAAAAAAGCCATTGGAGATAAGTAAAAAACTGCATAACAGGTATATAATAGCAAAGAAGCATAAATATTGACTGCTAACTATCAATTGAAATGAGCAAGAATTTTATGGCATCAAATACTTGCCAACCAATTAAACATTCATACACATTATATCTTTTTTGTCATTCTTTACAAAAATTCTGTTCACTACAAAGAAAAGCAACTAGAATTTGTAAGGATTTGCCCCATAACCACAAAAAGATCAAACCTACCACCAACATATTAATAGCTTCCTTTTTCGGTGTCTGTGCCAAAAAAAATTAAGGATGGCATAATAGTTAATCTGAAATGTAACCAGAGAATTTCAATGGATGATTTGAAGAATGAACCTGTTTATCATTGTGCAGAACGATGTAAAGATTATCAGCTATCAGCGTTTTATCAAGAGATACAAACCCTCTTCAATATTCTGCTTTATCCTCATAACATAGAAGCTGTTTAACATACAAACCCTCTTCAATATTCTGCTTTATCCTCATAACGTACAAACCCTCTTCAATTTCGTGTCAGGATTGATAGCCATAAAGAGTTCATCAGTACCAACTCGAGACTGCTGAGTGATTGGAGAAGGTTTTGACTGTTTAACAACCCTTGTCATTATTGCATTAGCATCTTTTTTCCTTCTCTCTTTATGTTCCTGAAGTGCCAAAGTAAGCAACAAGTTGCTCACTATATCTCCACTGATAAGAACAAAATCTCCATGTATCTGAAAAGATACGGGGAAGAAACAGGAGATACTGAGTGAAACAAGCTCCAAATTATGAATGTTGTAAAAAAGATCCAAACATAAGATTATTAATTGCCAAAAATCTACCCAAAATAAAAACGCATCCCAACTATAAACTCTATAAAAGATCTAAACATAATGAGAAATGAAGTCCAACCAAAAAGAACTTTAGTAATGTGGTCCTCATTTCTTTAATACTGAAAACTTGTCTAAATTTAAAAGAACTTTGACTTCCTGTAGCAACAATTATGATATATTAATGGCAGTAACCAGGTCACATTTTAATAGAGGTGATCCATTATGCTCAAAGACCAACAGCTCAATGCTCCAAATTCCAAAACTCACCCATCTGCATAGCCTAGGGGCTAGGCAACAGAAACAGGATCCAGACATGACAGATGAGGCAGCTGGTAACTACCTCCTTATGTCTTTAAGTCATGTCAAAGTTGTAATCATAATCCAATTTCTAATTTTAACAAAAACCTGTTGTCTATTTCACATGGATTTTGGTAGTATACCAATTTTAACATATTGTTCTATAATTTGGTATTCATTAGACATTAGCTTCCATAATTTTAACCAATTCTAACATTTGTTCTGACATGTATTATGGAAGTCTACCAATCTTAACATAGTGTTATCTATAATTAGCTTCTATAATTCTTTAAATTTCAACAACTATGGGGAGCAGATTTTGCAGCAAGTGGAGTCGTTGCCAAAATACCAACACACGAAATGAATACACTACTTTAACAACAAGGAAAGCGAACAAACCCAACCAACAAACCTCCTAATACTCGAAACTAAGAACATATACGTGGATAAAACATTACTCAATATTTTAACTAGATGCTTGTTCCTCATTACTAAGAGCATTTAATTTCAAGTAAAATGCATTAAATCTCTTTAAAGAAATTATCAAATATACTAACAGTGGAATTTTTAGACTACACAAGTGGGACTAGTAAGGTAACACGTACCCCTTAGCGTATATTTAAAAAAAAAATAGGTGTGATATATGTGAGTATTTAAAGGAGTTAAAAAATTTCACTAGCAGTGCATCAAATAATGTCTCATCTTATTAACATGTTTCTAAGTGAAATCATAAAAATACTCTTCATTTACTGCAAAGATCTAATATATATATATATATATATATATATATATATATATATATATCATAAGGCGTTCATAAATCAAAAGCAATGCATCACCAGCACTGATGGAATTGTGAGATTCTATGATTGTAGCCAAAAAATTCGGTTGAGAAGACAATTAAGAACTCCAAATAATCAATCACTTGTTTGGAATAAGCACAGCAGAACACGAAAACCTCCTCCACTCCCGCGGATTCAAGCCACGCTAATATGTAATCTATTATCGGAATATTCACTAATGGCAATAACACCTTCAATAAAAGAAACAATTTTTATTGCTAAACCAGCAAAATAACAAAATTTGAGTAGCATACGTATACGAATATACAATAAGTATTTTTATACGGATACCTTGGGGCGTTCACGGAACGTGGTGGCAAAGCTATCGGCTAAGAGAATGACTTGCAATGGATGACATGCCAACACCTCGGGTCCTCTGATTTTGTGCACCCATGTTTCCAGTCCTTCCTCCTCTCCTTCTTCTTCTTCTTCTTCTTCACTAAGGGTTATCGGAAGAGAAAATTTGTGAAGATAGAGTGAAATTTGGGGGAAAATGAAAAAGCCTAGGAAATTAGAGAAAATATATATTTTTCATAAATCAAAACCCCCAGTTGAAGCTTGAAACTTGACAGAGGAACAGTATCAACAAAAATTAAAAAAAAAAAAAAGCTTTCGGGATTTTGCGGTAAAGAAAGTCCATATTCGGGCGAGGATGGATCGGGTATAGTCTCACGGATCTAAGTTCGTAATAGTGTTAAGACCCGAAGAGAAAGCCCAACGCTTTGGTTTAGCTTAGTCTTTCTTATTCTTTAATCTAGTACTAGTTGTATTTCATGGCCCAATAAAACAACTTTTTGGGCCATAGCAAAACAACAATCTTCAAAGTCTGATGCAAGTTAATTATATATTTTTAATATTTTTAAATATATTTAACATTAAATTTTTATTTACTATTTATATTTGCGGCTTAATCTTAATTTTAAAAATTTTGTCTAAGAACTCGACTTGAACCTGACCAAAGAAATGGGCTTGAAAAGCAATTGATCTAATCAAAATTTTACAAAAAATAATATTGTGATCTAATAAGTTTCATTTATCAGTAATCACGAATTTGTTCAAACAAGACACCAAGGTTTTGTGCCCAAGCGATATTATTATATTTACAAAATTCAATGTACATGTCTTAATTTTTTTTTTATTTGGTTAATGTCACGAATATTTTTTTGAATTAATAAAATATTTAGTATGATTTTTAAATTTAAAAATTTTTAATATGATATTTAAATTATAAATTTATTTATTAATATAATATTTAAAAAATTATTTGTTTATAATACATTATCATTTAAAATTAATTATATTAACAATAAATATCATATTAATTGATAAATCCATAATTTATTATCATATAATAGATTTTTAAAATTTAAATAAAATAATAAATATTTCATTATAATTTAAAAATTATTCAAAATATTAATTTTTAAAAAAAATTAATAATATGATATGGTTAAGTGTTAGATTATTAAAAAAAAAAAAAAACGTTGAGATCCAGCACCTCTATATATATCTGAAATAAATTTTGGAGGCAAATCAATCAGATCATGGATAATAAAATAACATAACCAAAGATGTGCATTCATGATAGTTGCTAGTAAATGCTGTCAATCCAAATAAGCTCTAGCATGAAACAACAGAAATCAGAGCTGTCCAAATCACAAAATATAATTGTAATTCTTTATTTTTTTATTTTAGGTTGCTTGACTTGTAAATCAATAAATATTTAATATTTAACTAAAAATGTTATTTTTTATATAAATAATTACATAAAATTATAACAATAATTATGTGATTTATTGATAAAATATTAAAATTTTAATTTTAATAATTTTAAATAAGAAAAAAAATAAAATATTATGTATATATATATATGATGTGGAGCTACATCAAATATAATAAATTAATTTTTTAACAGGTGGATCTCCTGTCATCAACATTAAATTATATATTAATATGACCAAAAATATTAATTTATTAAAACTGTTGTCCAGTGAGATTATGATATGATAAACTTTTGTTTTACTACATTTGGACTCTTTCAATCTCAGATCTAAATCATAATCTAATAATTATTGATTAAAAATACTTTATAAAAAATAAATGTTTAATTAATAGAAGTAAAAATATTTACTTATTTTTATTTAAATTTATCAAATATTAAAATTTGATTATTACACGTCAAAAATATATACTTAATAGTAATAAGTTAATGCCAGTGATATTATTATCATATGATAGACGGCTTATAATTGATTATTTAATTAACTATTTAAGCTGAAAATTTTGTCGGGATAATAACAACGTCGCAATCATCAATCAAGTCTAAACTTTAGGTCTTTAGCCTTATTTCTATACATGTACACGTGGAAGTAGCCAATTCTAAACTGAATTTTTAATCATATTTACGTGATTAACACTCCTTTACACTATGTTAAGCATTTGGAAATTAATTTCATCCTTGAATCCATCTTCTTTTCAATGTACTATATGACAAATCAATGGAGAAAAAAAAGCTTGTTCGAGCGTCACAAGAGTTTTTTTTTTTTTTAATAATAAAATTTTTAGGATATTTTCAAAATTTATCTTTACTTAATTTATTTGAACGATTTTAAAAATAATTTTTTTAATATTATAATAAAAATATCCATAAATTTTATTGATTGATACTCGTAAAAATTTTATTGACTGATATCATTTAAGTCTATTAAAGTTTGTTTATTATTCAAAATATTTTAATATTATTAAGTGTATTTTTATTTAAATTTAAATTTTTACAAAATTTTAATAATAAAATAATAATTTGAGTCTAATCATACCCAAATTAAAAAAATTTGTCTAAGACTTAGCCGCCAGGCTTGACAAATGATTGGCATATGAACAACTTTAATCAACGGTAGATGTTTTTATAAAGATTAAACCATAGTTGATAAAAAAGAAACTTTCAACACCTTTTTTTTTTAAATTGGAACTTGACGAATTTGTTGGTGTAATAATTTATTTTACACGTAAAAATTTATTCAATGGTGATTATAAATTTGTAATTTTTGTTAATTAAATATGTTAGAATGTGGGTACTTCGAATTGGATCCAACTCCCTTAGTACATTCACAAAGGTAATATTTAATTTTTTATATGAAATATTAATCTCAATTACTATAGTAAAAATTCCCTCTTTAATTTTAAACTATGTCTTGCCTAGCATTGGGTATTTATCTAGAACACTAAATCGCTTGAAATATTAAAGAAACTGTTCAAATAGAAGTAAAATTTTGAGGGTTCGTGAAACAAACAACGGTAAATTGATTTAGAGAATTTATATTAGCATTAAAACAAGTAATTCTATATCAACTACCATTCCTACCATATAAAAAAAATAAAGAAAGGTAAAATTAAGATTAAAGAGGAAGGAAACAAAAAGTAGAACTACTTTATGGTCAGATCCGTGAGGGTCCATGGCCATCCAAAAAAGGTGTGACATTGCTCGTGAGGCTTCTTTGAGGAGGCTGACTATTCTAAACAAATACCATTAGATGGGATCGGATCACATGCAATACTTAATTATGTGTGGTATGGAATGATGATTTTAAAAATATGAAAAATTTATATATAATCATTAAATTATTGTGTTTTGTAAATATTAATGATTTTACGTGGTAATGAATTTAGATAATTGAGAGTGATTAAATAATTTTTTAGGGTAATATAATTTTCATTAATATAGTGAAAAAATTTATCATTTAAGATTAGTAAATATTATTTATTTTGAATTAAAAACTTATTTTTTAAAATTAAAATTATTTTATATTATAAAATTATATTTTTAAATTAATATGCATTATAACAATATTTGTTAAGTGAGCAGGATAACATATATTTTTAGGATATTAAAAAAGAAAAAATTATTTTTTAAAAATAAAACATGTATTAAAATTTTAACTCTTAAAAATTAAATAAAAACAATGGTAAAATATTTTTAAAAATTGAATTATTTTATTTTTAAATAAAATTTTATATATTATTGTATTTAAATAACTACTTACTTATTTATATCCCAATAAACTTTTATTTTAATAAAATATTTATATATATTAAAAATGTATTTAAGTATAAATTACAAATTAATAATTTATTTGAATAGAAATTCAAATTTAAAAATTTATTTAAAAATAAAATAAAAAATAAAATTTTTTTTAAAAGGATAATAAAAGTATAAAAAGTTATAAGTAAAATAAAAAGATTTTAGGGCTTTTTCTTTTCATTTTTTTTTTGTTATTTTAACAAAAACAAACTAAAAGCCTAAAGGTAGAACTAACTTTACTTTATTTAAACATCTAATTTTAAACTGTTTAAAGGAGGGAGACGTAAAGCGGCAGCCTGTCACGAGCGTTACTGTTTCCGTCTCTTAACTACCGTATTCCCCTACACCCATTCCACACTAAACAATCATTCAAAACCACTTGATTCACTCAGTGACAAATTCATCAATAAATCAACGGTTTTGATTTAATTTCACATTTTAATTTTCCCCCTCGGCCGTATGTAACACCATTTCCTTTTGTTCACCAGTCACCCGCTTACCACGCCTCTCCTTCTACTGTCCCTATCTCGCCACAAATTTCTTACTTTTGTTCTCTTTATTTCCAGAATTTTCTCGTAAAATAAAATCTTCATTTTATTTCTCAAAACCAGAAATCTAAAGCATTTTCGAAAATCTTTCAACGTTCTATCGCTTTTGTTTTATTTCTCTCCCATCAAAAGCAAAAAATTTTGAAGCTGAAAAAAAAAAAAGAAAAAGAAAATTGCGGCAATATTTTGCAAGATTGGTGGGAGAGTCGAAGATTCACGTGGGAAAATTTCGAAACGGTGGAACTTTGGATTCTCTTTTTGTTTTTTCCCCTAAGCTTTCTCTTCAAATTCGCTTGCTTCTTGAAATTGCTTGTTGTTTTTATTCGATAATACCACAAATTATTTGCAAAAAAAAAAAAAAAAAACGTTGAAAGGAGCTGAAATACGATTACACGAATGCTTTGTTGATGCCTGCTGTTGATTCTCCAAAACGATTCCGTAAGTTTTAGGTTTTTTTTTTTTTTTTTTAATTTTTAGGTGTTTGGTTACTGAGATTGTGGGCGGAAAGTAAAAGCAGAGAAAATTTTTTATGTTTGTTTAGACGTGTGTTGCTGTTTTGATTTAATGAAATCGCAAAGTATTTGTAAAAAAGAATAAAGTTCAAAGCTGAATTATAAATGCGGTCTTCATGCTTGTTGCTGTTGTTGTTTCCTCGAACGGTAATCATTTTTTTTATGTTTGATTGCTAAGAAAGTGCAGGAAGGAAAAAAAAAAAAAAGAAAGAAAAAAATTATTGTTTTTTGTTTTTAGTTAGGAAAATCGTTTCGAATATCTAACTTCCGTAACTGAAAAGAATTTCTAAATTCTTAAACCTTCTTCTTCGTCCCTACATTTTTAATTAATTATATAATTTAAATTAATAATTTTCCCTTTTTTTTCTCAATATTTCGAGTTATTTTGATTTTCAGTATTCTATATTTTGTCTAATCAAGAGTTCAAGACAATGAGCAGCACAAGAACAGAACATAAAGAATGAAAAATGAAAAAGATTTGAGATTTTTAGATTGAATATGCGAAGAAATGAGTTTAACTCTTTTTTCTTTTTATTGGTTTTATAAATGCAGAGTTCTTAAGGATTATGAGAACTGAAAGTTTTTGAATGGACAGTTCCGAGACATAACTTTTCGAAGATATGCAGTGTTGAAGGAAAATCTAAATCCAAAGCTCTGGACTATCTCCGCATTCCATTAGAATCAATTGGTTGTTCTGTAAATTGTGATAAAACAAAGAGATCAATATGGTGTCACCGCAGTTAGCTGTTGTCTTTTCCAAGTTGCAAACGCTGTCAACTTCAGACCATGCGTCTGTGGTCTCTATGAACTTATTTGTCGCGCTTCTTTGTGCTTGTATTGTTATCGGTCATCTTTTGGAGGAGAATCGATGGATGAATGAGTCAATTACTGCCCTTGTCATTGTGAGTTGCTCTCTTGACTATCTATCGGGGTGGATTTACTCTTTTATGAACAATTCAGCTAAGTTTTGTTTGATTATCTGTTTTACTTGTCTGATATATTTGATTTAATTGATATTATTGGCAGGGTGTATGTACTGGGGTCATTATTTTGTTGACGAGTGGGGGAAAAAGCTCACATCTTTTAGTCTTCAGTGAAGACCTTTTTTTTATTTATCTTCTGCCCCCTATTATATTCAATGCTGGGTAAGTTTGTTCTCCTTCCATTTTCATTTCTCTTGTGAATGGAAAATATGGAAATTCTTTATTATAGTTTATAAAAGGTAAAATAGATGGATATGCAACACTTATCCAATGTGAAACGTTATTTTGTGTAAATACCTATTCCTTAGTTCTGTATTATGGCTTGATCTTGAGTACATTAAGACTTTCTCCATGTTTTCAATATTGTAAATAGAGGAACATAGGTGTCTTCTATGATGTTGAGCTTTATTTTTTAATTTAAACTTGTTCGAGTAAAAATGAAGACTACATTTTGTTAAATGTTTGCCATCTTAAAGCCTTTCTGATCGCTGCTTTCTCTGCCAGGTTTCAGGTGAAAAAGAAGCAATTTTTCCGTAACTTTATCACCATTGTGCTGTTTGGGGCTGTTGGTACATTAATATCTTGTACAATTATATCTTTAGGTATTTGCAACAACTTTATGGATGCAGTTTACACATAGTGCAGATACAATTTCTTTTCTTTTCTCTTTTGTTTTTGTGGTGCCAAGACTAATTTTGCTGGTTGTGATTGCAACTCTGATGCTTCAAACAGGTGTTATTCAGTTCTTTAAGGAAATGGACATTGGCTCATTGGATATTGCAGATTTTCTAGGTATTTGCCCTTATCACTCCCTAATTTTTCAAAGTGGCTTTGTTCATGTTTGCATATCTTACTATTGTTCCCTATATTTTCAGCAATTGGTGCAATCTTTGCTGCAACAGATTCTGTTTGCACACTGCAGGTATGCATAAAATAAAATTGTAGTAGAATTTCAAAATTGAAACGACTAGTATATCAAACTTGCTAAAGTGAAGCTGTTTCTGCTGATGGTGCAGGTGCTTAATCAGGATGAGACTCCACTACTCTACAGTCTGGTTTTTGGAGAGGGTGTTGTAAATGATGCAACATCAGTGGTGCTTTTCAATGCAATCCAGAGTTTTGACCTCACTAATATCAACCCCAGAATTGCTTTGGAGTTTATTGGCAACTTTTTGTATTTATTTTTATCAAGCACTATGCTGGGAGTGGTTGTAAGTCTCTTTTCATACAAATCTGATTCATTCTGTGAACACTGCACTTCCACTAAGGTTGTGATATTTTTCTTTTCCTAACAGGTTGGGCTGGTAAGTGCTTACATCATCAAAAAGTTGTACTTTGGCAGGTATGTTTTTGTTGCCATCTGGGTTTTCACATCAACTAGTATTTTAACAGTTGTCTTCTACACATCAAACAACCTTGAAATACTTCTACAAGAATCTATACTCATCCCCAGGGAATGAAGGTTTAAGCAAAAGTTTTTTTTTTTAATAATTTTTTATATTAAAAAATTTCTGAGACTTAATTGAACATGAATTTTGTTATTACAGTACAGTATTGATGGTACACTATCTTTGAAATCTAGACTTCATATTGAATGTGCTTGATTTTGACATGATTCAGGCACTCAACAGATCGTGAGTTTGCTCTTATGATGCTTATGGCATACCTTTCATATATCATGGCTGAAGTAAGACTCTTCTTAGCATAATATGGCAGTTTCTTGAAGCCCTTCCTTTTCTGATATGAGCTTCTCATTTGATGATTCATGTGCTTCGTAAATAACTCTAATGTTGCCTCCACTGCAGCTGTTCTATTTGAGCGGCATTCTCACGGTGTTCTTTTGTGGGATTGTAATGTCACATTATACCTGGCACAATGTTACTGAGAGTTCAAGAGTAACTACCAAGTATTGCCTCCTCCACATTGTTATCTTAGGGCAACAATGGTCATGAGTCATTGATATTGGGAGAAGAAAAAACCTCAAACAAATGTTTAACTCTTTATACACCTCAATTGATTCAGTTCTTTTGTTTAAATACAGGCATGCTTTTGCTACCTTGTCATTTGTTGCTGAGATTTTTATCTTTCTTTATGTTGGCATGGATGCCTTGGACATTGAGAAGTGGAGATTTGTAAATGATAGGTATGTGCTATGCATCTGCTAGAAAGTACTTCAACTAAATTTTCATAAAGCGTGTATCAATGAGTCTTTATTGTCTTGAATGTGTTGTTCGGATATATATTTTTAAATTTTCTTTTCCATTTCCTTTTTCTCCCATGCAACTTGTACAGAACAACCTTCATTGACAGAATGATCTGCTGTTGTGACATTGTGTTTGATCTCCTTTTTGCAGCCCTGGAACATCAGTAGCTGTCAGTTCTGTACTGCTAGCTCTGGTTATGGCTGGACGAGCAGCTTTTGTGTTTCCCCTGTCATTTTTATCCAACTTAGCGAAGAAATCAGCTGGTGAAAAAATCAGCTTTAGGGAACAAGTATGTGTTCTTGGTGTTAGCTTTTTTATTCCAACTCAATTAATGATGTTATTTGACATTACTGTTTCTTTGTTTTTCTTTGTTTAGATTATAATATGGTGGGCTGGTCTCATGAGAGGTGCTGTGTCTATGGCACTTGCATATAATCAGGTAAAGTCTGGATAATCTTATTTCATTATAAAGGGAAACTTTTTTATTTCTTGTGATAAAAAGTAGCTTCCTTGTATTAAAGTTGGGTAGAAGATTATGAGGAAATTAAAGAAATGCTTGATGCTTTTATGAAACTAGGTTCAAATACTAATGATAGAATGAGAGGGAAAGGGAGACATTTGTTTGATTTATATCATCTGATAGACTTTTACTTAATATAAATGCAGTTTACAAGGGCAGGGCACACTCAATTGCGAGGGAATGCAATTATGATTACAAGCACTATAACCGTTGTTCTGTTCAGCACTGTGGTAAGATGTCTCCTGCCTTTATTTTAACTGCCAAGAGATTTGATGGTTTCTGCCAAATTACACCGCATTTGTGGTAATGTGTTTGGTTATTTGAGCTTTATCACATAATCTGTTAATTCATAAAGGTTCGAATTGTTGATTTTTCTTCCAATGAGGGAAGTGAGCATTATTGTTACTAGGACCTTCAATTATCATTCTTGGCCCATTGGTTAAAGATCAGATGTAGAGCCTAGCTTTTAATAACTCATTTTAGTCTTAACTGAGGATTCAATTTTTACATTACTGAAGTGTTTATTTACACTATCGAATCAAATGTCCGAAATCCCTTCTTTTGCGCAAGTCTCTTTTTGTTTTTTTTTTTGGTCTTAGGCACAAGAGTTTCATGGAGATGTTACTAACTATTTTATCTATTGGTTCTGGTTAGGTTTTTGGTATAATGACTAAACCTCTAATAAGGTTCTTGCTGCCACATCCCAAAGTAACATCCAGCATGCTCTCAGACCCATCTACTCCAAAATCGATTACGGTGCCATTTCTTGGAAGTGGCCAGGACTCCTTTGAAGATAGTCTAGGCGGAATTCAGCGGCCAGGCAGCATCCGTGCACTCCTTACAACTCCAACGCACACTGTTCATCACTACTGGCGCAAGTTTGATGATGCATTCATGCGCCCCATGTTTGGTGGCCGGGGTTTCGTGCCCTTTTTTCCTGGCTCCCCTACAGAAAGGAATGAACACAATCCACCTCAATGGCAATGAGATGGCTGAACAAGATGTACAAAAACATATATATGTACTATGCATCGGAGTTGGTCACAAAAACATGAACATCTTGTGAAAATTTTGAGACAAATTTTCAGCAAGACTGGAGAGAAGCCAGCGCAGTAAGTTCTGTTATTACCTCTGATATGTATATATCATGTAAAGGTTCCTCTTTATTCCTCCGACAACCATGTTGACATCCTAATGTACTCTTCTGTTGATATTTGAGAGTTTAAAATGTAATTTTTAAGATTTGCATCGCCTTTTGGTAGGCTTGCCCTTTTATTTTGCATCTGCATGTATGAATTATCTCACACGTTGAGAAGTTCATTTGGTATATTAAAGTCAAAAGTGTGATGGAAGTACAAGGTAGTCTTTTATTAAATTCTCTTTTTCGCAAAGTTTAAAGCAGTAAACATCGATGAATTCAACATCTAATTTGATCCTCAACGAAATTTTACATGGCATTTGCTTGTAAAAAGTTTCATAAAAATTCCACGATTAAGATAATAATTATCAACAAAAAACCGTTCCTAATCTACTGGTTAACCTCGTATGTTCTTCATTTCCTTTTTGGCCAAACAGGTAAACACAAACCTTTACATGCAAATTTTTGTGCACTCATGCTTTGATCAGGAGTATTCATACTCTAGAGTTCTAACTATAAACAAACCCTGTATGATTGTTGAAGGCAACGGCATGACATGGAATGGCTCTTTGTCAATGGTGCAAATGGCATCCGATGAGGACACTGATGAGTGCTACCATACAGACAAATAGCAGAGGAAATCCCACTTGAACTCTTCTTAGATTTGTCTTTTTCCTCAATAGCGCCTGCATAATATAGAGTTTACTGTCAATAATTCAGGTCTTTCGCATAAACTGAAACATACATTGTTTTGCTGCAATCTAATAAAACTGCCCTTGACTCAAGTCTCTATAGAAAATTGGTCTATGGTGGTACTAAATGATCCGAAGTGGAAGGTGCTGCCCTCCGATTTCCCACCCACATTGTAAAAGACAATCACTGGCCTATTCTAAGAAAGGGAGAAAGAGAAGACATTTGACGACACATATACATGATGACCATTCATAATCAACAGTTCAAAAGCTAAAAGCCTACAAAATCACCTGAAAAAGTGGTATCATTGTTCACACTAAAGAGGTAATTAGGAGAATTGACTGTCCATGACTGAACACATGATATGGAACATATAACAAGAATCTATAAGAAGAATGCACAGACAGAAAACTTACTAGTTCCTCTTGTAAGATCTTCCTCTCTTGAGTGCTCAACCTCCTCTCCTCTGTCAGTTTTGAAATGGTAGCTTCAGCCTGAAAAGGAAATTACCTCTGGTGTTACTGAAACTTTATAGTGCGGCATGACAACAGATGCGAATTAATGATGGCAAAATATAATTCAACCTTATTTTTTAACTCAGTATCAAGCATCATTCTTTGTCATATAAACAAACTTACCTCGCCTAGCTTAGATTCAAGGTCATTTAGTTTTGATTTCATTTCCTCCACATCTTTAGCAAACTTTATCTCCTCCACAGTCTTCAATGTTTTCACCTTGCCATCCTTCAATGCATTGAACTCCTTTTGCTTCACTGACTTCAATTCCTCAGTATCAAGAATATCCTCCACTGGCTTTGATTCTGCATCTTTCACTGGCTTTGACTCCTTGCTATTGAAATTATTATTCTTTGGATTCAGTTCACCGTCTTTTGCTAATTTTAAGTCCTCAACATTAACATCATTCTTCAGCTCAATGTCTTTTGTTAATTTTAAGTCCTCAATATTAACATCATTCCTCAGCTTCAGCTCTGCATCCTTCGTTGGCTTTAAATCCTCTGCATAGAACATATCCTTCCTTGGCTTCCACTCCATATCCTTTGTAGGCTTTATCATCTTTGACTCCTCAACCTTGGCAACCTGATGTAGTGAAGAGAACATTGATAATTTATTAATTTTCTCAGAGGTATTAGGTATAAAATTCGTCAATGGACTTGAAGTATGTGTTTAAATCTCATATTCAAACAAAAATTCTCTGCAAGTTCACTTTCAGATTATAAAGAATATATATTTTCCTTTAAAAGATAATGCAATCACACATACAAGTACATATATGTATAACTTGATTTTAAGCGCTAAAAAAATAGACAAAGTAGATCCAACCGTCAGCAGCGGTGCAATAATCCCAACTTTATTGAATACTGGCTCTTTTGCAATTGAAGCATCATAATCTATTCCCTGATTCATTGTCCCGTTAATTGGTGATAATACTGGCGAATGAGGAGGGCTGACAAGGGTAACTTTAAGCTTGTTCTCTTCAATATATCTTCCACTGTCCTTGACAAACTGTCAAGCAAAACAATGAGCAAAAGTCACTTACTATTATTATCAATTAAGCACAAGAAGAGCAGAAAAATCACTTACTGTGGCAGACGTAATCTCTTCATCAGTTGCTTCTACCGGGACAACTGTGCTTTGAATTAAGAACTTATCTCTACATATCATATCAGGAGGGGCTTCACGCTGAGCTTGCATGGTAACTAAATGAAAAAAAAAAAAAGGTGAGAATATATAGCATAGCACAAGGGAGTAAAGAAAATGATAGAGACCATAATATGAGAAATTCAGTACTATATTTTATTTCTAAGTTGCATCACTAGCTTTGATTCACTTGTCTAGCTAGGCAGCACAATGGCAGACTGTCCTAAGGATTAAGGCCGTCAGTTTTGTCAAGTATGTAATTTTTGTTTCCTCAATAAATTTGTACTCTCAGGAAATTAATCACGAATTATCAGATGCAATAGAAACCAGCTACTTCAGAGGAACATGTCCTAAATATAAAGCACCTGAAAGGCTGGGAAATTTACCCTTATCAGCATATCCCAATCCTTTCCCTATCCCAGATGGCAAAATCATTGAAACGTGTAGGGTCCCTCGGTCAGGTGACCTCATATCTACTAACACTATCTTAATTTTCTTACATCATTAGTTGTGAGCCATTACAAGGCCACTTAAGCTTTGAAATTCATTCATTACACACACACATATCAATATACAATCCTAAAACATTTATGTACAAAACTCCTTACCTTTAAAATCACGTACTGATTTTGGCATTACAATGCCAACATTAGGCCGCACACAGTATTTCTTAGGGGATGTCGTTTTAACCTGCAAAATATCATTGCTCCAATTGCATTGGAATCCAGCATTCTAACCTTCTATCTCATGAAATAAACCTTAAAAATTTCAAAAAGAATGGACATAAATTAAAGAAAAAAAAAGAGAGAGAGAGAAAAGCAGAAAGTGCTGGTTCAACATGCAGACCTTGAAAGCAACATATTGGTTAGTGTTATTTGTAAGTGTAACCGAGCAGTGGCATTGCTTCTCCAATATAACTACCAAACAAAAAATAAATAAATAAATGAGAAACAAATAAATAAAAAAATTATCAAAGCTAAAAAAATCCTATGTTATTGGCGGAATTAACCCCTTCGATTATTTCACAACAAATCCACAAAAAAAATTAACTACAAATGCTAAAAAAAGGCTTATTCTTTACTCTGTTTAGTATTTTTATTTATTTTTAAATTAAAAGAGTTAAAACAAACAGGTTTAAACAAATCCTTCTTTTGCACTGATTTTTTCTAATAATAGAAAAAAAAATTAAAGATTGAAAAAGTGTTTTTATCTAAATAATTATTATAAAAATAATTTATGTAATAAAAATAGAGAGCAATCAAGTAATTATGCACTCACATACGAATTTAAGTTCCTTTGGCTCAATCTCCAAAAGTTGGGTAGTCATTTCCTTCTTCACTTAGCATCCAAACCTTAATCTGCAAATAATAATTACAATTATCATACTAATAAGCAATATAATCCAAATAATTAGCTTATTTGTGTTTTTTTTTTTTTTTCATTTTTCAAAATATCCGAATTAGTATTCGATGTTAAAATACATAAAGATATAAACAAAACAACAATAAAAAACAAAAGAGGAGGTGAAGTCAAAAGGAAATCGAGTTGGACGCGCTTAGACTCAGATCAGACTCGAAGCAACTCTGTTTGAATTCCAAACTAAAAATAAGCGATCATTCGAGTTCATGTAACTGAGGCGACGACGCTTTGAAATCAAAGTAGAAAAAGCTGAAGAGGTTTTAAAATTTTCAAAGCAAAATCCCAATAATGACTCGTCTTCAACTCGGATCGTTTTCGTTTTCCTTTTGACTTAAAACACCTCAAAACTCCAACATTTTGATCTCAAAATTAAACTGTGAAAACAAAAAGAAAAGAAAGCTCAAACGAACTCAGTACTGACTCGAATTTCAACTCAAGAGAAACGGTAATAACATTACGGTACTGACATCGTATATCCGGAGATCAAAACTTGAGGAAACAAGTCAAAACGACACCGATATTTGGGTCTCGAGTTTCAGAGTGCATGAAATTCAGCGCGAAATGGAAAAAAAAAAAAAAAAAACGACAGCATTTTTTGAAAATCAGAAGAGCGAAAGCTTACCAGTATCAACGAAAGAATCTCTGGCCAGAGAGAGAGTAAAGCGAGAGAAACAGAGAGCGTATTTATAGCTGCGTGACAATGAAGGATTTGTTGGAATTTAAAATTCTAAAAACTTAAATAAATAAGAAAGCAAAGCGGAGAGTCCCAAAAATTCTTTTTGAGAGAGAGGGAGAGAGAGAGTCGGTCGGTGTTTGGTAGTGGAAAAGGTGAAATTGGGAGGCAAAGAATAGACTGAAGAAGAGAAGTGACGGACAAGCATTGAGAGACAGCAGAAGTTTTTAAAGAGAGAAAGAAATAAAAAGCCAAAGGACGGGACAGGAGCGTTGGTTGTACCCGCCGTTTCCTTTACTAAACGCACTCCGTTCGCCTTTTGTTCATGGCTTTAGGCTTGGGCTCGGCTTTGGCTTCCCTATTTTCCAACTTTCTTGTTTATATTGTGTGAACATTATTTTCCAATTTTCCCTAACTAAACGCACTCCCTATTTTCCATTGCTTTTGTTTATATTGTGTGAAAATTCCAAATTTCTTTATAATTTTATTAACAAAATTATTAATCTTTTTTGAATAAATAATAAATATATGTTATAATATTTTAATTTCGTTTATAGAAAATCTATAATTTACTGATTTTGTATTAGCAATAATAATACTATATTATTATCAAATTGAAATGAAAAAAAAAATTGATCATTTTATATTTTGATACTTGTAATATTGAATTACACAACAGAAAATAACTCTTTGAATTCAAAACTTTTATAATGAAATCTTATACTCTAACAGTTGAATACCATAATTGGAAATTAAATTATAAATAAATTGCTTAACAACAAACTTCTTGTAATTGGAATGTGTAAAAAAAGTAAGAATTTTCACTAAATTTAATATTTCTATATAATGGTGATTATGCCCAATAAAATTATTGGTCAATAAAATAGCTAGTGCTAATCAAAATTTTTTCTTAATTAAAAGGAAATATTAGGAAAGGCATCTTGATCCGTGACCCATGAGTTTCGAATCGATTCGAATTTTTAAAATTTTTTAAAAATTTAATATTAGGTCACGTCGAATCAAGTAATAAAAGAAAAAATTGAAATTGGATAGGTGTCAAATTTTAGGCAAATTCAACCCTCCTTTATTTGATATATATAAAATTTTAATTTTTAATTAATTAATTATAAATTTATATATATATTTAATTTCATATTTATATTAAAAAAATAATATTTTATTAATTTTAAGTCGAATATGATTAAGTGTGATTTTATATAATGACAGATCGGATTAGGATTACGTATAAAAAAATTTAAAAAAATCAAATCAAATCAAATCATATTCATATAATTTTTATATATAATCCAAATCAAGTTTGGGATAAATAAAAATCCATCATGATCTAACTTATTGCCATCCATAAAAAATACCATGACGTGGATTTAATATGACTTCCAATTTCTAAACTCAATTATTATTTTGTCATAATTTGAATTATTTAGTTATCTTAAATTATGATTTTTTTGTAAAAATTATTTTTAATTTTTTTAGTGGTATTGAGAAATTAATTTAAAACAGAGATAAATCTTACCTGAACTATATGGATTATGTAATTGAAGATAATGATTTTACTACAATATAATATGGATAAAAATCAGTAGCAAATTAGATAATGATTTTATCATTAACAATGGAATCTGTAATTTTTTTTAGATAATTGAAAGTTTAACAACGGCTTAAACCTCAATGAGCTGAGCTCACAAAACTGTTAAGTTGGTCATGAATTTATGTGTCCCACAATATTTAACAAATAATTATTATTGGATAAGCCTTTGAAGTCTCCCAATTAACCTGAGTATTTTATTTTTCTGCCTTTTTTTTTTTTTTTTAAACCTTTTCTCTTCCTTCTAGTTAAAAAAAGTAGATCATCTTTAAGACTCAAACGCAGTCAAATTTTCTTCTTTGAAATACACTCTGAAGTTTGAAGGAGCAATTTCCGTTTCTCTATTCATGAATGATGATAAACACATATTTTGTCGGTGAAGAAAAATAATAATTAATTTTTTGCCCTTTTTAATTGAGATACACGTGTTATTTTTGTTATAATTAGGATTTGATTTATTAATTTTTTGGTCGAATACTTGTAAAATTCCATGCATGAGATAGCCAGCCTTTGTATCCAATAAAGGAGAGCTTCTACATTGAAAAGTTTGCCAAAAAGCCAAAGTTCTCCAAAGGTGAATTTGCCAATAGTGGAATATGATTGAGACAAAACAAATGCATTATGACAATGTTTTTCCCAACTTTTTCTTCTTTTTTTCCCAAAAAATAAAAAAAAATCAGTTTTCAAAAGAATTATATGCTTTACAACAAATCAGTCAAAGTTTAATTAAAATAATTTCAGGGATACATTTGTTTGGAAATGTGGTGCCTTTAATTAGGTTTCTTTAAAATAAAAGTGCACAGCAATATGGTGCTTTCTTTTGATAAAAATAAAAAAGAAAAACAGTGAAAATTTTGCAATTCAATGAAGAACATTGATACAATAAAATCACGTGCATATGTCATATTGTAGAATATTAACCTTGATTAAAGATATAGCGTGCAGCTCTATTATTGATATTTTTGGATTTTATATGAATTTTTATGACTTTCATTTTAAATTGAATGTTTAATATAGATGAAAAAAGTTTAACTTGTTATGTTTTAAAAATATTAAAAATTAATTTTTAATAATTAAAATTATTAAAAATTAAAAATTTAATATTTTATCAAAAAATCACATAAATATTAAAAAGTTTTTTATTTAGTTGAAGAGTTGAGGAACAAACTCTATTGTAATTTCTTATATTAGTCTCTAATAATTTTTATACATTAAATATTAATTTTTCAAAAGAAGTACTTAAAATGCAAAAAATTTTATATTTGACATGGATTATTAACTTTTGCATAATACTATGCATGTCAATCAATTATATATAATTCATAATTTCATTAATGTAATAATTATAAATATATATTTTATAAATTATATAAGATAAAAATTTATTTATGATTCGTGTCATGGACAGATGGAATCATGGAAGTCATAAATCTACAGCACTACCCTTTCCTTCAGTCTTCCCTGCATTTTATAGTCAAATTTTAGCCACATGACATTCCACATCGAATTAAAACCAACCATTTTGATTCCACATTTCAAGCCAAAAGTCCAATCATATCTATTCAAGGTTTCCTTTCTTGATCTTGGACGCACAACGCTGAAAGTGACTTGGCTCTACAAAAATAGACTTTTATTTCGAAATTCACATGTAAACTTGAATTATTATTCTATACATTGATGATTTGTTTATATGATTATTATATAATTTTTATTTGATATTTAATGAAAATTAAATTTTGATTATTTTATTAACAGTTCATATGATTTTTTACTTATATAAATTTTCATTGAATATTAAATAATTAATTATTTTTAAATTACATGCTGGATGCTTAATTTTACAGAAATGGAGGGTCATGATCATAATTTGCAGCTTAAAACAATGAATTATGATTCCTGCAAAATGGTGAAACCTTGGTCGGCAAAGAAAGGCTGTTATAGCTAAAGATCGATGACACCAAATTTAGACCAGTAATATGAAGTATGAAAATGAAAGAAAACCCACCAGTTAGTTGGGAGGAACTTGACAGAAACCATGAATAAATTAAGGAGTGAATGAGATCGATGTGTACGTGAAAACCACTTCTGAAGCTTCCATACTCAACTGCCATTAATTTATGCACCACCCTTTAATGGTTGGGCAACCTGGCTGATTCTTTGATATCATCACGTTCGATATTGACAATCAAACTTGCCGCTAGGGAGAAGGCTTGAAAAATATAAACCATCAAAAATAAACTGTGTCATATCTACATGAAATCGTAAAAAAATTTCATCATGATTTTTATACAGTAAAGGAACTGTTTTCTAATAAAATGCGTAAATCTTATAACAAATAGATCGATTTAATTTAGTTAGACTTACTTACATGTTTTACTTAAAGTTAAATTTATTAACCTGTTTTATAAACTAAAATTCCAATAGATGGTAGCACAAGTTTAGTGAAAATTCTAAATTTTTTTTGTAGAACAATAAACCTTTATTATATAAAACTAATAATAAAGGGACAATTTTAAAGTTTCCAAAATCTTTGGGCTTTTTGGGCTAAAGAGACTCTGCATGATTTAACCTAGCCCAGGCCATTTCCATTTTGTATTTTAAATTGGGCCCGTTTCTTTCAGGCCCAGTCTAATCTTATCAACAAATGGGTCATGCCAGTTTCATTTTACACCTTATTTCAACCCCCCGCATCACAATTTTTAAATAATAATAATAATAATAATAATAACAAAAGAAGAAATCCTGGATGGAAAAATACAACTCCTTGTCAGTATCACAAAACGTCCAGCTATAAAAGTCGCCCCCCTAACCTTTAACTAGCAATCTTCATCACACTCGCTTCGTCAGCTCCGTTATTTCTTATTTCGTCTCATCTCTTTCCTTTTTCCTCTTCCACAGTCTCAAATGGCTTACATCGCCGGTTCATCGATCTCCATGCAACCTCGCCACACCCTGGTATTTTTCTCTTTAATCTTTTCCTTCGTCAAATATTTTCAGCTACAATTCATTTATTTCTTTTATTTTTTGCTATTTTTTTCCGATCTGTTTGATTTTAATTTTTCTTGCTCTGATTTTACCTTTTGCTTATAGCTTTTAATCTAATGCTTATTTTCTTAGTGTTAATAATGAGGCTTTAGAGTTAATTTTGTTGATTCAACTTCTTTAATGGCCGATTTGATCTGGGTAATCTGAGATTTGAAAAATTGTTATTATGATTTTACTTTTTAGCAACTTTTTAGAGAGATAACGGCAAGTAGCTAAAGCAATAACCAGAAGGAGAATTGTTTATTGTTGCATTATAATGAGCTGTTTTAGAGACGAAAGCTAGAAATTTTGTGGATATTGTTGGCTTTTAGTTCTATAAGGTTTGTTGTCCTAGTTTTTGCTAAACTCGATTTTCGATGGAATTATATTTGATTTATAACTTAGAATAGATTAGCATATATGAATGATATATCGTGTAGGTAAAGTTGGGACCTTTGGGACTAGAGGAATCACATATTGTGGAATATCATGATAGAAAATTGTAGTTCCACTTACATGATTGATGTTTGGAGTGCTAATGCATATTAGTGGCATGTTTTTGGTTTTCCTTTTGGATTTTGTTTGTAAATTTAGTAAAATAGGCTATTATGAATGTGCAACAGTAAAGTTTCTATTTTGCTTGGCATAAGGTGTTGGGATATCTTTGAAGTTAGTTGTTTCTTCTAATACAATTATTTTTATGTGAATTATTGACGGATTTTCATGCTGTTGAACTTTTTTAACAGGCCACAACCAGGGTTTCTGGGTTGAAATTTGTATCATTTATGAACCATGGAAGAAGCAGCCTCTCTTTTAGGTTGCGTCCAATGCCAGCTCGCATGCAGATTTCCTGTGCTGTATGTTTCTTAATGAATGAAATGATATTAGTTTCTGTCCTATTGGTTTTTATACTCATTTACGAGGGACAAAGACTACACAAAGTGGTTTACATTTTTATCATGAGTCCATTTGATCAAGAATAAGGAAACTAACATTGAATAGTTAGTTGAATAGAAATGTGGCAAAGATATGAATCCACTGACAGTGTATATATAATTTTAACTATTCGTTTTCTCATTGATATTTTTTATATGAGATTGTTGGAAATATGATTTAGTTGTTTTCTCAGTTTATGCTATTAAGTTGCCAACTTTAAAGGGCGTGAGGAATTGTGCAATGCACTTGCTTCTGGTATCTGTTTGTTATCATGTCTGTTTTATTTCCCTACGTTACGGGCGCTTTGCATGAGGTCCTTCGTATCTGCTGATTCCTTATGTCTCTGCATCTTTTTTAAAAATATTTCTTGTGAATCATATGCTGGGTTTGTTGTAAATATGATAGTTATGATCTAATCATTTATGTAGAAATGACAGTTATTCTTTTGGTTAATAACATAATGTTGATGCCTGAGTTAAATGCCATTTGGTAGGCTAAACCAGAGACTGTGGATAAGGTATGCGAAATAGTAAGGAAACAACTAGCTATATCAAGTGACAAACCAGTTACTGGTGAATCAAAATTTTCTGATCTTGGAGCTGATTCTCTTGATACGGTACTCTCTCAACTGTCTACAACCATCTGATTTGTTTTTTCAATGTTAGATTTGTGTTATTTTTTCATTTTCTTCTTATTTGGGTAAAAGTAGGGTGCTGGATCAAGGAGAGTATGCATTTGTTTATGTTTGATGAATTTTTCCCATCTGTTTGTATTTGATGCATAGGTTTATATATGTATCCCTGGGATTATCCTCTTTTCTCTAACTTATCCTAATTTTCTTTATCAGTATTGGTGTATGCAGTTTTATTTGCTGTCCGTTTATTTCATGTCCACTCTTCTATCTTAGCTTTCCTAACTTCTCTAGGTTTTGCTTTGAAGCAAAAGCAGCATGTCCACTCTATAATGTGCCTTAAGGTCATGCTTCTTCCTTAAAATGGCCAAGTTTGGTGGAGGGAATATATGAAGGTCACCTCGAAGGGCATTTCTGGGCTAAGGATGCATATAGGATATAGCCAAACAAGAAAATTTTTTGGTACCTTTTATATATTAGCAAACATAATAAAATTGTCTTTATGGTTCTTCCCACAGCTTAAAACCCTCTGTCCCTACCTTTTGGGTATCCTTGTTGCATGTTGGCTAACACAATAGACATTGATTTTGTTATTTCTTCATCAAGTCTAAGCTCTCTCCCACTTTAACCCCTTCTTTGTTGTACCTTCTGTCAATTGGTTGTTTCTTTTACTTGAAGGTTATTGCTTGTAGTTCGTGTTGTAATTGGTAGAATGCCCTTTCAGGTTGAGATTGTGATGGGGCTTGAGGAAGAGTTTGGAATCACCGTGGAAGAGGACAATGCCCAAAGCATCACAACTGTTCAGGATGCAGCAGATCTTATTGAGAAACTTTGCAGCGAGAAAGGTGCCTAGAAACAGGGACCCAAGTTGGAGTTTCATTTGTTATTTGCCCATATTGATGTCACTTACCAGTCTGCTATATCTAGAGTATTTGCCAATCTTCTTGTGAACTTGTGTCTATTTATTTGTTCAATCTAGAAGAACCCATAAAGTTGTTGGGCTTTTTAGTTAAATTGTGGATTTAACTTTGTGTTGTAAGTCGAGTAAATACTATTTGATTTGATCCTGTCGCTCTTTTACATTGGTACTTGGTAGTGTATAATTTTTTGTTTTAATAAGCTGCACATACAGTTATAGGGAAATGGGTAATATAGGTTTTAGTTGGGTAGGGTTGTGGCCCTGAAGAAGGTGATGCCCAAACAAAAAGCTCAACATCCAGCTGACAGGATAGAACTTGGTTGAACCCAAAACTTAAAGTTTTGAATGACTTGGTTTGAATCTCATTTGGATGAGATAGTCTGAAATCTTACACTAGACGACGTGGGTCGAAATCTCATTGGGTTTAATAAGAAATGAGCACTTCATGTTGAATGCCTGATGTTCCCTTTTCAAGCAAGAAGATTTCTTTTGTCCTTAAAGAGTCACTCATAATGAGATGATGGTTTCATTCCAAAGGATCCAATCACAGACAGATAGAACACAAACAAATAGCTAAAGCGCAGGTATTAAGCAAACAGATAAACAGGTCTGGTTCAAGGCACATGATCGTCAAAGAAAGTAAAAGCTTTGAACAGATGGCGCCCTGCAGGGTTTGGCTGAATTTTCCCACACCATAAGAGCTACCTGCAGTGGTTTGATTTGAAGCCAAATGAGTTTTTGATCTTAAAATACAACTGAAAATGAGTTCCTAGGTAGGCAGAGGCATGCACCTACACCTAAGTATCTCAGTTTGACAGCAACTACAAAGAGAAACACAAGACAGTATTGTAATTCCATACTTTCTCATAGAAGGCCCACAGGCCATGACTATTTCCATCACCTAGCTATAGTTAATTGTAACCTTTTAAAATGGATGATTATAATTTTATTTGCCTTTATGCATCCAAAAACAAAAGATTATTAGCAAAAAATCTCAATCAAACAGATCCTATAAGAGTAATAGTAAATGAAAAAGTGTAGCAAAAATTGAAGGATTCTCATGAAATGTTGCAGAAAACAAGCTTAATAGATGGAATGAAATCGTCTCACCTGCTTGCTCTTTTATTTTTGACCAAAGCACCCGAACCAATTTACCTATGATCACTTCAAATCAAATGCAAATGTTAGATATTTGAGGAAGATGTATGAATTGACTAGCACGTAACATTTAGAGCAATTTTCTTATAATTCTGTATTCTGAAAAATTTAATATGAAAAAAAAACTCATAAAGGAAGAAAAGAGAGAGAGAGAGATTGGTAAACACCTTGAGCGTGGCTTGACGATCTTCTGATCTTCAATATGAACCTCTTGAACGTGTGCAAGCTTGGACCAATCAGCACCAACCCCAGGTTGACAATTTCAGCTCAGCTCAGGACATTTTTGAATCTTTACTTGTCTAAGTGCAGTGAGGCGATTCAGTCCATCGGGAAGAGAGGATAATGCTGGACACTCGGCAAGCTCCAACCTCTCAAGTGATGTGAGATTTTGCATCCATTCTGGTAGTACCTTGAAGTTGGGACATCTCTCTATTAGCATGGATTTAAAAGTGGTAGCTGATCCTTGAAGAAGCAACCGTGGCAAATCCTCCAATGCTTCTGATCCGCATATTGTTAAAGTTTTAAGCCGCAAGTGAAGGTCTTGGTCTTCTTGTCCTTCTTGTTCCATCCACAAATTGATACTTTTGCATCCAACTATCTCGATTTCCTCTAATTTGGTTAGAAATTTCAGACTTCTTGGCAGTGAAATCAAACTAGAACAGAATTTGATAACCAATGTTCTCAGTGATGTGAGGTGTTGCATCCCTTCAAATATAGATTCTATCATATCACAGTGGATCAAATGCAAAAACTGAAGCGAACTCCAACATCCTGGATGAATATCCCTTAAAAGCAGAGAATCTGTGGTTATCTCTAGAAATCTGAGACTGATCAAGCGTTGCAGACATTCAGGTACTTCAATCAGTGGAACGCAAAGTAACCGTAAAGTCAGCAAGCTCTGAAGTTTACAGATAGAAGTAGGAAGTTTCCTCATTCTTTGACACCCAGATAAGTCAAGATATCTTAAATGCTTCAAGGTGCCAACAGACTTGGGCAATACTTCCAAAAATGAATAGGAGAGATCAAGTAGCCGCAGGAACTTGAAATTCAAGAAAGAAGCATTTACAAAACGTTCCTCAATTATCCTATTTGCTCCTGAAGAAGCCAGGATCAGTAATGTCCGCACACCTTTTAAATTCTTCAAAAATGATTGTGGAGCTCTCAATGGATTATCATCCGAAAATGACAGATGTCGAATATTTTCAGCAGCATTTATTGTATGAGAATAAATTGTTAAGCAGTCATCTTGAGACACATTTAACAACAGATCATGTATTAGGTCATGGATTTTAAATCTGTAAAATGTAGGTTCAGCCTCGACATCTTCGACAAAACCCCTCGACCATAATTCTTTGAAATATCGTAACCCAACATCTTCCCACTCTTCATTTTGCTTTGGGCTTTCAATAAGTCCAATGGCCATCCAGAATTGGACGATATATTCAGTATCATAAATAGTATCCTTTGGAACCAATGACAAATAAGTTAGACACCTTTGCAAATGAGATGGCAAATGATTATAACTCAATTTCAGCATAGGTAGGATGTCATTTTCATTTTGATCAAGTTTCCATATGTCATTATCTTTTATAAATTCCCATTCATGTAGCTCAGTTTTCATGTAGAGTAAGCTCCCTAAAGTTCTCACTGCCAATGGAACCCCTTTGCATTTTTTCACAATTTCATCCCCAATTCTCAAAAGGTTTGGATATACTTTCTCATCCCCTTCCCTAAATGCCCATTTTACAAACAGAAACAAACAATCCTTGTGACTAAGACCTTTCAAGTTGTACGGAACAATAGTACCCACTATCGAAGCAACTTTTGAACTCCGTGTAGTCACAAGGATTTTACTTTGTTGAAAGTTACCCATTGTTATCAGCAAATCCCTCAGTTCCATCCATTTTACATGATCTTCGTTCCATACATCATCTAAAACAAGTAAAAAAGTCTTACCATTTAAAAGCATTCGCAAATGAGTTTGCAATGCATTAACTGGTAAGCCATAACATCTTTCCTCCGTAATGGAGCAAATAATATCACAGAGCAACCTAGCAAGATCAAACTCATCTGACACGTACGCCCATATTTTCAAGGGAAAGACCTTAGTGATCCTTTCATCGTTGTACACAAGTTGAGCAAGTGTGGTTTTCCTTAAACCTCCGATTCCAACTATAGGGATGACGGGGATTTTTTCAAAAATGGTTGGCTTGACTAAAACATCTATGATGTTTTCTTTGGCTTGATTTCGACCTATCACATTAGAAGGTATAACAAAGGAGTGGGCATCTCTAAGACTAATATGTCGGTTCTGAACTTTCTCTTCAAGTCCAAGATTAAATTTTTTGAAATCACTAGCAATTGTATCTAGCTTTTCGGTGATTCTTTTGATTTTATGACTTATCCTTAAAGGGAATGCAAATGGAATAGAGAGGGCAGGGAATTGTACCAATTTGGTGGTGGTGCTTCCACGATTGATCAACTCCTTTTGCAGCGCTTCACACCTGAATTTATCAAGCACATCTTTAGCATCATATAAGACATCTCTAAGCTTCCCCAAACTAAGGCGAAACATCTTATTTGTTTGACCTAAAGCAACAAATACAACAACGCAGAAGTAATATATTATAATATATCACAATAGATTCACAATAATAAACAATAATCAACAATCAACAACATAAGAAAAATAAAACACATTAAGATTTATGTGAAAAATCTTTCAGTATAAAAAGAAAAAATCACAAACCATTAGAAAAATCTTTACTATTAAATAATGAATATAAAAAGTTTTTTTCTAGCTAAAATTAGAGCTAGTCAATAACTAGAAAGATAATTGGAGAAATCTCATCAAATCAGTGACTCAACAAATATTCCTTGGATTTGTTCCTAGAAAGCTTAAAACTTGATTTTCACTGTTTAGAATGTGAAACTTTAAATCGCAAACCTGTTGACAAAGTTTCAACTCAATTAAACCATAGATTGATTTTGTTTAACTAACTCTCTTTTCTCTCTTTTCTCTTTAGTTTTTTGGCTTTTCTTTTTTGTATTTAACACTTAACCCTCTGTTTCTTACCAAAAAATGCAACTTTTTTTTTCTTTTATTACCTAAGGGTCTCTTAGGGTAGCCTAAAACACATAAGGCCCATGGCCTTTGAATGGTTAAGACCAATAGCATGGGGTTGGATCCCATATATTCCTAACAATCTTTTTATTTAACCCCATTAGGAGGAGATTCATCACCATAGCAATTTCATTTGAAACTTACCTTAGCCAAGAAACCCATTCTGACTAAGTTACTGCAGAGCTCAAGCTTTTTCCTAAGAAATATCTTAGTCAATATATCTACTGCATTCACATCAGTATGACTTTTCTCAATAGCATCTGCTGTTCTTCAATCATAAAAAATAATCAATGACATCTAATAATCAATGTGCTTTGATTTAGCATGGTACATAGCATTCTTACTCAAATTTGAAGCACCTGGCTATCACAAAATATCATATACTCTTTTTGATTCAACCTCAATTTAAGAAAAAAAGTTTCATTCAAAGTATTTCTTTACCTACTTTGATTATTGTAATATACTCAACCTCTGTAGTTGATAAGGTAACACACTTTTACAACTTAGACTATCAAGATAGCTTTTCTTGCAAAAATGAACAAATACTCTAAAGTAGATTTTTTACCATCAAGATCATCTGCCAAGTTAGCATTAGTAAACCTTTCTAGAATTGGTTGTGAAATTCTGTAACTCAAGCATATTTTTGAGGTGCTCTTTAAATATCTAAAAATTTATTTCACTACTTCTCAGTGAACCTTCCCTAAATTAGAAAGAAATCTGCTCATTATACCAACTACATAAGCAATGTTAGGTCATGTGCAAACTATAAGATACATCAAGAAATCGACTACAGAAGAATAAGAAATACTAGACATAGCTAGTTACTCTTCCTTAGTCATCAGATAAGATTTTTTACTTAAATGAAAATCTTTGGCAAGTGGACTACTAACTAATTTAGCATGTTACATGTTGAATCTACTAAGCATTCGTTCAACATATTTTTCTGTGACAATCATAATTTTTTAGCTCTCCTATCTTGGATAATATTCATACCGAGAATCTGCCTTGTTGGACTTAAATCTTTCATGTTAAAAGACTTAGATAATTGTTCTTTCAACTTATGAACCATACTAGCATCTTGTCCTATAATCAACATATCATTAACATATAATAAGAGAATAATGAAGTTACCATCAAAAATTTTTTTGACATACTCATAAAAATCTGTTACTTTTTTTTTATAACTTTTGCTCACCATAAAAGAATCAAATTATTTATACCACATCATGGAGCTTATTTTAAGCTATACAAACTTTTTTTCAATTTGCAACCTAAATGCTTTTTCCCTTTCACTTTAAAATTCTTAGGCTAATCCATATAAATATCCTCTTGCAAGTCACTATGCAAGAATGTAGTCTTGACATCAAGTTGTTCAAGCTCAAGATTCAAACTAGCTACTAATCCTAGTACCACTCGAATAGAACTCATCTTTACAACTAGAGAGAAGATCTCATTAAAATCAATGTCAAGTTTTTGACAAAAATCTTTTACCGTCAATCGAGCTTTGTACCTCATTAACTTATCATCCTCTTTTTCCAACTTGAACACCCATTTATTATTCAACGACTTCTTTTCTTTCTATAGTTTAACAAGATCATATTTACCATTTTTTTGCAATGACTCTATCTTTTCTTTCATTGCTTTTAACCAATGCTATTTATCCAAAGTAGTTTGCATATCTTAAAAGATTTTTGGCTTTTTTTCATTGATAATTAAAATAAAATTTAAACTTGGATACCTAGTGGATGGTTTGTGCTATCAAGTAGATCTCTTAAGCTGAGACTTTACACTACCTGATGTTAAAGGTAGCTCTTTCTACTTAACACTTTTTGATGGATAGGACTATTCACCATGCTCAACACTCTCAGGTAAAGAAGATTACTCATCTTATTCAAAATTCATTGCATCTAACTCATCACTAACTTTGTCTAACTTATTCATATCCTCAAGTTTTTTTTATTGCTTATTTTCACTATCTATGACTCTTTTTGGTGAAACCTTTGTCGATGTTGAAACATCACATTCAACAGTAACTTGAGTAGTCTTTTTTATTTTTCTCAAGATCTACTATAATTTTTTTTATCAGAGATCACATCTTTACTTTTGACCATTTTTATCTTCATTGGATCCATACTTTGTAGCTAAATTTCTTATCACCATATCTTACAAACACACACTGTGTGGCTTTATTGTCAATGTTTGATCTTTATTTTTTTAGCACATGTATAAATGCTTTACACCTAAAAACTTTTAAGTAAGAGTATGAAGCATTTTTCCCTATCCACATTTTTTTATAAAATATTAAAGCCCAAAGGAACTGATGGTGATCTGTTAAGCAAATAATAAGTTGTATTGGTTGTTTCACCCCAAAATGACTTTGGTAATATTGTTATTCTTAACATATATTTGACTTTTTCTATAATGATGTAGTTTATCCTTTTAGCTATAACATTATGCTATGGTGTTTCAGGTTCTGTCATTTCATATTTGATCCCATACTTTGAACAATACTTTTCAAAGTTTTTGGATGTGTATTTTTCACCATTATCAGTTTAAATATACTTCAAGGGCATCTTTATCATCCTTTTCACCATAGTATGAAATTTTTAAAAATACTACAATACCTAATTTTTGTTTTTTAACATATACATTTAAGTCTTACATGAAGTATCATAAATAAAAGTAACAAAATACCTACTATCATCCAATGACTCAATCTCAATGGGACTATATATATCAGAATGAATCAATTCTAATATATTTTCTTTTCTTTGAGAACTCTTATGAAAGAAAAATTCTACAATACTTGTCAAACAAATAATGATCATATAAATCGAGAGACGTACTTTTGGTTAAGATAATAAAAGAATGCCTTGTTAACAGTTATAACCCCTTTTTGCTCATGTGTGCTAGCCTCTTATGCCACAAGTTTGTTGAAGCATCATTCTTAATGGCATTTATTTGGTTGCCTTTCAATTGCATCTATATCTTGTATATTATGTAGCATAATTTTTTTTTGCAACTACCATAGATCTTTTAAGAAGCTTCCACTGTCCATTCTTTTGTTAACTCTAATAACGTTCCTTATCAATGACATTAATAGCAAGCAAGTTTATTTTTATATCTAAAATGTGTCTGACATCCCTTAAAGTTAATATGTAGCTTGTACTAATTTATATAATAATATCATTAATTATAATAATCTGTGATACACTCTTATTTTTCATCTTGGTGTAACCAAAGTCTTATGTTTTGTAAGTTATAAATAACTTTTTCTTAATGGCATTTATCTAGTTGCCTTTTCAATTGCATCTATATCTTGTATATTGTCTAGCATAATTTTTTTCTTGCAACTACCATAGATCTTTTAAGAAGCTCCACTGTCTATTCTTTTGTTAACTCTAATAACGTTCCTTATCAATGACATTAATAGCAAGCAATCTTGGTGTAACCAAAGTTTTATACTTTGTAAGTTATAAATAATTTTTTCTTAGGAACACAATGATGTGTCATTCTTGTGTTAACTATTCACTTAATGTTAGGATTACCAACATGATTATAATTATTATGTGTACAAATTAAAGTAATTGAATGATTATTTGAATTCACTAATGCAATATTGTCATCATCTGAACTATTGTCTTTCTCATCTTTTCACTATTGCTTTAAGATTTTGTAGTATTACTTTATATGACCTATTTTATTATAATGAAAGCACTTCACTTTATTTCTGGACTTGAATTTATGTTTAGATTTACTATGACCTTTTAAGTTCTGACTTTTGTTAATATTTCTACCCTTGTTCTTTGTGACATGAGCTTGATTCCCAGGGTCTAAATCTTTTTACCTTACTTTTTCATTAAGCATACTGTCCTTTTATCATCTTTAATATTACATTGTAATCAAAAGCTAAATTAAGAACAGTCACAACTAGAGTATTTTAGCTATCTAGTAATAAACTTAAAAAAAATAACACATTCATTTCATCATTTATCTTAAGCTCCATATTAGTCATCCAATTAAATATATCTCGAAAATTACTCAAGTGTTTTGTAATTGATCATTCATCCATGTACTGTAAAGTTACTAGCTTTTTAATAAGTATAACTTTATTCATATTTATTTTTCTTTCATACAATGTCAATTTTTTTCAAATAGTGTAAGCATCTATTTCTTATGCTACATGATGGAACATGTTGATATCAATCCAATTTTTTATTGTAACCAGTATCTTTTTATCTGGCTTCTTTCAACTTTCATCTTTCATATCTGCTGGTTTAACCGAATCACCTAATATTGGCTCATATAAATCTTTGCAGTATAAATAATTTTTCATCATAGGCTTTCAAATTAAATAATTTAATGCTATTAATTTTATCATAGAATCTCTATCACCCTCTATGATCTCAAATAGAATTTACTTTTGTCCTGTGTTGCTTTTATATCGATGTTTCAAAATAACCTTTACTCTGATACCACTTGTTGGACCTAAAGCAACAAATACAATAATGCAAAAGAAATATATCATAATAAACTTATAGCAATAGACAACAATAAATAATTAACAATGTAAAAAAAATAAAGCATACCAAGATTTACGTGAAAAATCCTCCAATATAAAAAAAAAATCACGAACCACTAGAAAAATTTTTACTATCAAATAATGGATATATAAAATTCTCTTATAGCTAGAAAGACAATTAGACAAATCTCACCAAATAGGTAACTCAACAAATACACTCTGAATTTATTTCTAGAGAGCTTTAAATTCGATCTTCACCATTCAAAATGTAAAACTCTGAATCATAAGTCTTCTGATAAAGTTTCAATTTAATCAGATCACGGATCAACTTTTATTCAACAACTCTCCTTTATCCCTTTTCTGTTTATTTTTTTGGCTTTTCTTCTTTCTATTTGGTGCCTCACCCTTTTTTTCTTACCAAAAAATGTAGCCCCTCTTTTCTTTATTACCTAGGGCTCTCTTTGAGTAGCCTAAAATACATAAAGCCCATGGCCTTTAAATGGTCAAAACTAATTACATAGGGCTGGTACCCCACATATTCCTAACATCATTATAGTGTTGTCATTTTTTAGCATCTAACAGCATAGCTTTGATGTAGGTCATGGTTTCTTTAAACCTTCTCAAGTCACTACTGACATTCCAAAATGATAGAGTTTCTTTGGTAGCCAAGGAGACTATATTCTCTTAAAACTGTTCTTATTGATGGCCAAAACTAATTTTGCCATAATTAAATTCTAGAAAGGCAATCAAAGGTAAAGAAAAATTGAGTATAGCATTTATGATGAAATTTGTGTTAGGAAGATATGTCACACTTAGAGCTTATAGGAACATACTAGAAAGCTTGTACATATATATTAAACACCACTTGAGCCTAAAGCTTAAGCTATTAGGTTCTTAAGTTCTCATGTATCTATAAGATATTTCATTCAGATTTTTTAATGATGTAAGATTCTTTACTTACATGTGAATTTTATCCCAATAATATTTTTCGTTCACTTATGAGTTCTTATCAAGTCTCACTTCAACTCTTCTGTGCGAGTAAATTTTATCAACACCTCATTTGGGCCAAGCAACCATACATCTTTAGTGCACTTTTTTAAGCTAGGCCATAGCACCTAACTTTACCACTTAGGTTATCTTAGTGCCCCATCAAACTTGCACTCCAGGTTGGCTTAATACATCGCTCACTTTGATGTTTGACTTCTGCATAATATCATATATTCCCTACATCTAAGTCTAACCATTTAATATTGGCATTCAAGTGCATGGAATTGATGGACGTGGCGAACCTCTGATCTGCCAACAATATCTCTTTAGCAACACTACTGAGACTCAAATCTGTGACTTTAGCTCTAATACCAATTGTTGGAGAGATAAGTCACATTTGAAGCCAATTAGAGTACACTAAAAAGTTCATATATATATTTTGGATATCACCTTAACTAAAAAACTTAATCTATTGAGTTATTAAGTACTATATATATATATATAAGACATTTAATTCAAAATTTTTTAGTGATATAAAATTTTTTACTAGTATATAAACCTTATCTCAACAGTTTATTTCAAAGAAATTAAACCAGTGAGTTTATAATAAATATTTTATTTTATCAGCCAGCAGTACTTTTATGCTTGTGGTTCGATTGAGATCAGCTACATCACCACCAAAAGAACAAAAAAGGAAAAAAATGCATCCACAATCGAAAGAACAAAAAAAAAATGCATCCAATGTTTGCACGATGAATAATGGATGTTTTCCAGGAAGCACAGCATCCACCCCCCTCGTTACGCGAGGGACACCCACGGACACGCAAAAAAAGAAAAAAAAGCACACGGTCAAGATACGTTTTTGACACGCTTGGATACAGTGAGGATATCAATGGACGCTTTTTTAAAGCTGAACCGATAGAAAACTAAACAACTGATAGATTCCATATTTAGATTTAAGCAACACCTGGTGGAAATAATATGGGTAATGAACTTAATTTTATTGAAATTAATAATTTTTAAGCGTGGTCTTAAACTTAACTTAATTATTTAATATGGGTATAATGTAAATTTTTTTTTTGGGTCTTATTTACATTGAATATTTTTGTATAGGTAATATTTCTTCCATTTTTTTTTCATTTTTAAGTCGTTTCAAAATATATTTTTTGTAAAATTTTTGAACACTTTTTATTCTATCTTTATACTTAAATTTTTTTTTTACAATAAAAAATACGATACTTCAATATTATAAAAAATTAAAATTATAATATTAAATACATAAATTAGAATTTTTTAAAACAAATAAATAGAGAGAAGAAAGAATATATAAAAATATTTTTATTATCATTAGTATCATGTTGTGTGAATTCCTCATAAAGTTTCACTTTGATACAACAAATCATTCAATTTACTGATAATTGATAAATCTTTCAAGTAAATATCCATTTTGTTTCAGACGTTCCCCCGTTGTGTAAAACAAGTAAAAGTGACCTTTTATAAGATTTTTGGACATGAGTCAACGGTGCATTGATTGTTGTAGTTAAAACTGTTATGCAACAACCTCCAAGCAAAGTTCTGATTTTGCTTAGACCCAGTGCTTTGTAAATGAGAAAATATCATTCACCCCAAGGAAAAAATAGCTGAATATAGAACACTGAAATGAATAGCTGAAGTAGATTATGCAAACAAATAAATATTCTAGGTACATGGGATCAACCAATGTTACAAACATGAACTACAATCAATCCGCAACATCAAGGCAACAAATGTTACATCAAACCAAAGAGACTTGATATCTGAAGCAAACCAAGAAAAAAGCCCACAATGGGATACAGATAAATTAAGAGCAATTTAAAACAAACTAGTCATAACACAACAAACACATAATTAAGTATGTCTGGTACATAATATCACAACAAATCTTACAGAATAGCACTGTTAATCACATTACATCTGATGCAAATTAAAATCACATTCATTTATTACAACAATAATATTCAATAATGTCCTTAATATTCCATAAAGTCCTTAATTGAAGGCATCTTAACAACAGCAAATAGACTCTAAATCAAACAAAGTAAAAAGCTTACAGCCAGCCTTCCATACCCAACACGCCTTCCCTGAATTTTCCATAATGAGAGTTGCATGCAGTGGTTAAAACTAAATGAGTTAAAAATACAGCTGAAATGCAATTCCTATTAGGTTTAATATATAACGAAACATCTTGTGTAATTTAGCAGACTTAGTCTGCTCCAATGTACCAAAGACATACATACATACATTTTGTAACTTTTTCATTCAAATAAAATCTATTTAATTTTGCACAAAAAATACATACATGCATACATAAAGATTTATATATTTGATTTAGTATAAAAAATGTATATATATATATATATATAAATCTCAATTCGTAAAATTCTGATATATAATACATAAGAATTGAAATTTTCATAAAATATTGCTGATGAACTTTAATTATAGTAGAATGCTATGGATGGGTTGAAGTCTCACCTGCTACTCCTTTATTTTCATCAAAGCATCCAGTTCATAATTTACCTGTGACATCAAAAATACAAATTATTAAAATTTGCAAATGTTGTATACATTGAGCAAATTATATGATCATTTTTTTTTTAAAATTTTTGACTGGAAGTTAGAGGACGTTTAATCTGAATTCTAGAAATTAAAAGGAAATGCAAATGAAAATGTCATGCATAAGAACATATAGTAGTACTAAATAATAAGACCATCCTATAATTAATGCTCCATCTGAACTTGGGAATTTTTTTCAGCAGCAATTTTGGAGTGTTTAATTTCAAATCTAAAATATAAAAAATTCATAAAATAGAAATTTCCTCTTTTTTTTTTTTTAAGTTTTTCCCTGAGAGATCAGAAAAGGAGAAAAGAAAAAGAAATAGTATTTCAGAATTATAAAGAAGTACATCGAACAGTGATAGATTAGATTGCTAAATAAATAAATACCTCTAAGGTGACTTGATAATCTTTTGGTCTTCAATATGAACCTCCCGGATGTGTGATATCTTGGACCAATCTGCGCCAGCTTCCGGTTTACAGTTTTCACACAATGTAGGACATTTTTGGATCTTCAGTTGTCTAAGTGCAGTGAGACGGTCTACTCCATCGGGAAGAGAGGATAATTTGGGACAATTAAGAATCTCCAGTCTTTGAAGTGAATTGAGGTTTTTTAGCCATTCTGGTAGCATCTCAAAGTTGCGGCAATGCTGGATTTCAGTGAACTGCAAACAGCCAACAGATCCCTCAAGAAGCAATCGAGGCAGATCCTCCAAGTTTGGTGCATCGCGTAATATCAACATCTGAAGGCTCTGAACTCCGTGTGGTTACAAGGATCTTACTTTGATGCAAATCATCCAATTTCACCGACATGTCTTTCAATTCATACCATTTAACACGATTTTCGTTCCACACGTCATCTAAAACAAGTAAAAATTTTTTACCTTTATAAGACTTTGCAGATGAGTGAACAGTGCATTGACTGGTAAACCATCACACCTTTCACGACTTAAGTAGTAAATAATCTCACAAAGCAACCTGGAAACATCAAACAAGTCTGATACACACACCCATAATTGCAATGGAAAACACCGAGTGATTCTTTCATCATTGAACACCAACTGAGCAAGCGTAGTTTTCCCCAAACCTCCTATTCCAACTATAGGGATAACGGGAATATTATTTTGACCCTCGCTTGACTGGATTAAAAGATTTATGATATTTTCTTTATCTTGATTTCGACCAATCATGTTAGAAGGTATCACGAAGGAATGGGTATCCCTGAGACTAATGCGCCGGTTCTCAACTTGCTCTACAGCTCCAAGATTAAATCTTTTGAAATCACTAGCAATCATATCTAGCCTTTCATTGATCTTTTTGATTTTATGATCCATCCTTAAAGGGAATGCAAATGGAATAGAGATGGAAGGGAATCGTACCTTGGTGCTTCTACGATTTATCAACTCCTTTCGCAGTGCTTCACACCTGAATTCATCAAGCACATCCTCAGCATCATATAAGACGTTTCTAAGCTTCCCCAAACTAAGGCGCAACGTCTCATTCTGCTGCTGCCGTTTTTCAGCATCTAACAGCACAGCTTTGATGTAGGTCATGGTTTCCTGAAACCTTCTCAAATCACTACTGACATTCCATAGTGATAGAATTTCTTTGGCGGCCAGGGAGACTATCTTCTCCAAAAGCTGTTCTGCAACAAGGGCCAGAAATGATTCCGCCATAATTAGACTCTGAAGAGGCAATCAAAGGTAAAGGACGATTGAGTATAGTATTTATGATGAAGTTTGTTTCAGGGAAACTAAACAAGTGAGTTTACAGTAAATATTTTATTTTAGCAGCCAGCTGTAAAAAACCATCAAATGTTGGCACAAGGAATAATGATGCTTTCCAGGGGGCATCCACGTAACTAGTGGGACACCAATGGCACGGAAAAAAGTAAAATGCTCACGAAATGAAAATCTTTTTACTTGAAAATCTTTTCTAAAGCCGAACCGGTAGAAAACTAATCTAACTCATGAATTCCATATTTAGATTTAAGCATCAGCTGTTGAAAATTAAGAGCGTAAGTTATACACTTATCATCTAAAGTTATTTGAATTTAACTAAATTAAAATTAAAATTTAATTTAATTATTATTGAATAGAATTTGAATTCAAATAATTTAATTTATTAAACGAATTAAATTTGAATATTTAAATATTTAATTTGAAAATTTATGAATATCATCAAGTTTTTTAATTAAATATATATTTTTATTTTTTCAATTAAAAATTTATAATTTACCTTTCTATATATAAAAAAACCCTAAACATTTTAACTCTTTTTCTCAGTCTCATTTCTTCTTTCCCTCACTCTCCTTTTCAGCGGCACCTCTGCTCTCTCTTTTCCCATCTTATCTTAGCAACCACACCTTTCCTTTCTAGCACTCTTCCTTCATACCTTATTTCAACATAGCTGTCTGCATATGGAGTAAGTTATATCCACATGCTTATCCCTACCTTCGATCAACATCAATTTACATAGAAAAATCAAAGGCTAAACCTTTGAAGGTTTAGCAGTAATTTTGCTAAACCTTTACATATGGCCCTTGCCTAAAGATAGCTACTGAATATTGTTTATTTCTACTTTAACTACTTAAAGAAAAAAAGAAACTGTTTGAATAATATATGCTGGCAATACTGTTTGTTTTAGTGCTGTTTTTGTTTTCAATTTTAGTATAGTTTTAGTGAGAGCTATTGTTGTCTTGATTAGTTAAATTGGAACTTTTTAAGAAATTCTTGGATTTGGTTGTTTGGGTGTTTTTTTTTTTAGTGTTTAGAAAAATTTTTAATTTGATGGTGGGTATGTTATATTGTTACGAAATTATTTTTAAAATATCATTATTTATAAAAAAAATATCGATTTAAGTTTAGTTTAAATTTTAAATCAAGTAATTAAATTTTACTTTAAACATATGATCAAATTTATAAATTTTTATTAAGTAATAAATTTTATAGAGCGAGCTTTTAGTTTGAGCTTGATATATAAAATTCTATCAACTTGATTTAATTTTTGAACTAATTCGGGTATTGTAATATATTGACTTAACTTGTTTATATTCTTTTTAAAAATAATGAGTAATGAACTTTTATTACAATTAAGAATTTTCAAGTTTGGACTTTAACTTAATTTAATTATTTAATATCGGTATAATGTAAATTTTTATTTTGGATCTTATTTACATTGAATATTCTTACAATAAATAATATTTCTTCCATTTTTTATTTTCTCAATGTTTTAAAATAAAGAGTTATTTATTTATTTATTTTCCGAACAGCTTTTATTTCAGCGGCCACCACTTCCTTTATTTTAAAATAAAATAAAAATTTTATTTCAACAGCTAACAGTAATTTTATTTTAAAATTATTTTAACAACCGACGGTACTTTTATTTTAACAGCCAGACTACTTTTATACTTGTGGTTTGGTTTATGATCCGCCACATCGCCACCAAAAGATTAAAAAAAGACAAAAAAAAAAAAAAAAGAAGGGCATACAATGTTTGCAAAAGGATGCTTTCCGAGGAAGCACGGCATCTACTATCGAGAAACGAGTGAGGCACCACTAACACGCCAAAAAAATAAAATGTACACGGTCAAAAAATATTCTTGATTAGATCTATGAATTTTAAATATATATCATACTATGACAAAAAAATATAAAAATAATATAATTTAAAATTTTATTAATAATTATATATATGCTTAATGAAATTGAAAAAAAAATATTTTTTATTTTTTATTGATATAAATTATAATATATAATTTTAAAATTCAATGTGTAAATGTAAAAAAATCTTAATAAAATGATAGAATTTAATTTCACTCTAAAAAATTACACTAATTTTTTTCCTTTTATTGGTACATAATAGGTATAAGCATTATCATTTGTTTATACTATTAGACGCATCAACTGCGTGATGATAGTGTAAGTCACTATCATTTATTTATCGAAAATGACACATTTTTTGTTTGCCTACAAAATCAATCTTTCCATCGATGAAACACACAACAATATACTGATGTTAATACTCTGAAAAATTCTTGATGGAAAAAGAGTTGACTTTTGGATATTCCTACTTTATTCCAAGAAGTTCTTTTTTTTTTTTTTTTTGAAATTTAGGCTATGAAAATCGAAGAAATTTTGTATACCTGATTTTGTATTAGACTGATAAATCAAGTTCAAAATTTCAACTTTAAACTTTTAAGCATAATGCCCGATTGTCGAGTCCATTGCAAAAGATGTTAAGAACGTGGGGTTCTTTTGGTTTTGACCATTCATGGGCAAGGCCTTTTAACTTAACGTGAAATGAAAGATTTAAATAATAAAGAAGTGGGAACTGTTTAGGTGTAGAAGTGGAGTGACGCTGAAACCGAGAAAAAAAATTAAAAAAATAGAAAAAAAAAAAGAGAGTTGTCTGATTTAATTTAATTAAAATTTTATGAGTAAGTTATGATTTTGTATTTTATATTTTAAACAGTAAAAATCAAATTTAAAATTTTTTTAAAATAAATTTAAAATATATTTATTGAGTCTTTTATTTAGTGAAATTTTTTAAATTATTTTTTTAGTTGTTGATTAATTTTAGTTTAACTAAAAGATAATTTTATATATTTATTATTCAATAATAAAAAAATTTTTGGTGATCTATAATTTTTTTTCTATATTAGAAGAGTTTTTAAATAAATTTTGATGTATTTTATTTTCCTACATTATTAATTATTAATTATTATTTATTGCTACAAATTTATTATGATATATTATTTTGTTTGTCACTTCATATCCAACAAAATTTAAAAAAAAAATACAAAGAAACAGCACTAAAACAGAATCTAACCAATCAAAAGAGATATTAAGTGAATATAAACATTTAATTTTGTTCCAAATAATAGATTATAAGTGGCAACAATATTCTTAATGTTTTGATGAGTGGCAGTTACCGGAAAAGTCATATGACTAAGTTCACAGTGTTCGATATGATGGATATAGTGGCTTTCATTCATGCATGGAAATAACCGGAAGCTACATTTACCTATCCAAAATTATGCATGTTCACGTTGAGTATGGGGACAAATTTTGTGTGCTTGTGCTAATGTGGAGCAACAAAGGTTACACCAGGTGCTGGAAAAGTTCATAGTCGAAAGTCATGGTTGGCAAATGGAACACATCTGCTCACTTTTCAGCTATCAATGTCAAAGCTGGAACTATTGAACTGAAAAAAAAAACCTAGCACAAGGCATGAAGAAAAGGAAATGCCTTGACAAAAGCTAGCCGGCTGCACATGCACGTGTATATTGTCTTTTCCATTGACAAGGTCAAGGTCTCCCGAAGCTTTTCCTGATGGCTTTCGACAAACCATGCCAAGCGAACTTCCTCAATAGCAAGGGAAGTTATCTTCTCCAAAACACTTGCTGCAATCTCGAATAAGAATAATTCATCCATATCTGAACTCTGAAATCAAAGAAAAGACGAAGGTTATTAAGTTAAAAGACAGGTCAACGCTCTCTTTTTCTCTGAGCAGTTCATTGACTTTGCCCTTGAGCCAGCCAGTTGATCTTCATATATAGCTTTCCAAGATGTATATATTTTCGAATAATTTATTCATTTGGCGAAAACTGTACACAAACGACTAGACGTTGACGGTCCATCCACTCCCCAGCAAGTTAATAAGATTTCTCTCTATCAAATTTCTTAATATTGTGGAACTAATCAATTTAAAAAAAAAAAAAAAATTTCGACGAAGTCTTCCTCCTTCACGCTAAGTTAGTAATAGGATTTTGATTACTATTCTACTTCTTTGTGTTAAAGTTAATTTGAATAAATGATAAGAATGATTTTGATTAAATTAAAAATATTAATAAAAGTAAAAATAATTATAATAATAATAAGAGTAAAAATAGTTGTGAGATATGTGTTTGAATAAAACAAAAATATTAAAGATAAATTAAGTTATAGTGAGAATAAAAAATCATATAAGATATTAAATTAAAAATTATATATAATAAAAATTTTAAAAATTTAAAATTTATAAAATTAATAAATAATTATAAATTTATTCAAATAATTTATGTCAAATAATAATTTATTAATAAATAATTGATAATTAATAAAAATAATAATTTATCAAATAGTATTTTTATTATATTAAATAAAAAAAATAAAAGGTTAAATTATAAAAATATTTTTTTGTCTCTTCAATACAATTAAAATGATAAAAAAAAAAAAAATGCAATCGAGCGTTCATCCACTAAAACCAAAAAATTCAACGAGTAAAAATTGATTTCGTGATGGACATCCAATTGCGTGTTCAATGCGTTTGCACAATTTTTCATGCCAAGTATATTTACGCTAGGGATACTTTCGAATTCAAATCGCGATTTAACTTATAGTCACCTTTTATGGGCCTTCTCGATAGACAATAATAGATGAGTTTATGCGAAATGAAGATACTTGAATGAGATAATCGTTTAATCAATGAATCAGAACACGACAAACAGCTGAAGCAGAGTGTATAAAAAGATATAAGCCTTATACTTTAACATCGAGAAATTTTATAAAATTATATTTAGGTGATAAAATAATTTATATCTTAGAGATTTTAATTAATTTTAAATAAAATAAAATTTTTTAAATAAAAAATCAGATCGAAAGTGGATTGGATTTCTTTTTTTTTTTCTTTAAATTGGGTTTGAGTTGAAGTTGGATTTTAAGTTGTTCCAACTCCACTAGATGCGTGTATATAAAAAATATTTTTATTATTTATTTAATTTTATGTTTATATATATTACGTTAATAAAATAATTATTTAATATTTTAATTTAAGATATTGATTTAATAAAAATTTTATATTATATATAACTAAGATATAATTTATATTTAAAAATAATATTTTATGAATATTGTATTAAATTAAATTATTATATTAATTTTGAATCGAAACAAATTCGTCGTAATTTATAAATATATTAATCAAATTGAATAAAATAATATTTTGATGTCGAATAAAATTAAAATTGAGTATAAAAATTAAAAAATTAAATAAAAATTCACTTTGATTTAACCCGTTATCATCCTTCTTTATGCTAATTACAAAAATATGGGAACACTCATAATTAATAGGTCAATTCCAAGGATGATTACATCAAGTAATGCAGGTACATCATCTAATGAAAGGTGCAATAACACAATGATGGTATTAGACTTAGATTTAGATGGACCGCAGAGTGATGATAGTGTAATAACTCTATCATTTTATTTAATGAAAGATGCAATAACACTATCATTTTATTTAATGAAAACGACATTTTTGGTTTGTCTGCCATGCCCATTTCAAAGGAAAGGAAACATGAAGGAAACAGCTAACTATATATAAAACAGAACCTAACCATTCAAGAGAGGTACCAAGTGGGCATTGTAACTTTAAAACAACCTAAACAATTTTTTTTCTCAATTTGTTTTTCTGATGTTCTCTTTTTTTCCCCATTTTTTTCTTTAAATGTGATTTGCTTGTTATAGGCGTTGGAAAAGGTTGTGATGTCTGCATGCGTGAATTTTTGGATTGATTTGAGTTTTAGTAAATTTTAATTGTTGTTTTCTTTGTTTTTCCACCGTTCATTCTTTTTCAGACTCAATCTTTCTGTTTTTTTTTTTCTCCTTCCAAGATTTTTTTTTTTTTTTTTGCAAAAAGTCAGTATTGACATAAGGTTGAATAAATGATGAATCTCCACCCATAGTGTCACCCAACTATGCATCTCTAGTTGAGTTTCATTTTATGATAGATAATAGATAAATGACATATTCTTATTCTCAACTTGCTTTGCTAGTTGAAACATATAAAATGATACGCATTTCAAGTAATCATTTTTCTGGTTTTACGCAGCCATACATTTTATAGTATATTTCCATAAAGTCCATAATTGAAGCCAACAAATCATTGGCACAAATACTCTAAATCAAAGAAAGTAAAAACTAAAAAGCTTCCAGCTAGCGCTAGCCTTTATACCGACAGGCTTTGGTTCAATCATCCATCATGAGAGCTGCATGCAGTAGTTCAAAACTAAATGAAATGAGTTAAAAATACAACTCAAAGTAATTCCAAGCAATGTTCCAAAAAAAAAAAAAAAAGCTAAGTTCGAATGAATCTTGTGGAAATGGGTGGATTGAAGTCTCACATGCCGCTCCTTTATTCTCACCAAAGCATCGACTTCAAAATTTACCTGCGACCAAAGGAACAAATCATTAAAATTTGCAAATGTTGTATGCATAATACATGCGTAGAGAGGAACTTATATGGTCAATTTTAACTAGCAATGAAGAGATAAAAGATAAAGAAATTAATAAGTACCACAAACCATACCTGGTAAATCTTCTGATCTTAAATATGAACCTCTTGGATGTGTGCTATCTTGGACCAACCAGCACCCACTTCGGGTTGATATTTTTCACCCAACGTAGGACATTTTCGAATCTGTAGTTGGGTAAGCAAGGTGAGGCGATCCAAACCATTCGGAAGAGAGGATAATTTTGGGCAGTCAAGAATCTCAAGGTTTTAAAGTGATGACAGATTTTGTAGCCATTCCGGTAGTATCTCAAAGTTGGGACAGCGGTTAATTTTTATAAATTGCAAAGTGCTAGTGTCACGGGTCGAGACTTAAGCTCCGAACTCACGCGACTCTGGGACCCGGGCATTCACCCTTCCGGCATTAAATATCACGGACCTAAGGAGAGTCCTGAATCCCACATCGAACATAATAGGAGGGTCACTGGGGTATATAAGGGTTCACACCACCTCCGTCTTGTGAGGCGCCTTTTGTAGAACAAAACTGTGAGGCCAGGGGGTCAGAGTGGACAATACCTCACAAGGGTGTGAACCGTGGCGGGAAGGCTGATCCGGAAAGCCGAAAGGGTGAATGCCCGAGTCCCAAAACTGCGCGAATTCAAAGTTTAAGTCTCGACCTGTGACACTAGCAGATCTATCAAGAAGCAATCACGGTAGATCCTCCAACTTTGGTGCACCTCGTATTTCCAATTGCTAAAGGCACAGGTGAAGGTCCCAGTCTTCTCTTTCTTCCAGTTCCATGCGTAAATTGATTATTGGGCATTCAACTATAGTAATACACTCCAGCTTGGTTAGAAATTTCAGACTTCGTGGTAGTGAGACTAGTTTAGAGCAACATTTTATAGTCAAACTTCGAAGTGATGTCAGGTGTTGCATCCCTTCAAACAAATATTCCTGCAACTCACATCCATAGCAGTACAGGAACTGAAGAGAACTCCCCACATCCTGGTCAAATCTCACTTATATGCGTAGTATCTCTTTGGATTTGCTTTGAATCTTATAATTACACATCGAAAATTTTAAGAGTTTTGAATTTATCTTATATCCCATATTGAGAGCTTAATAAAGTTATAAAAAATTTCATCCTTATAAATAAAATATTTTAGTTTTGGTTTGAGAGTCTTAGAAGTTAGACACCAAAAGAATAATTAAGTAGGTTATTAAAATGGTATAATTAAATTTTGGGTTAAATTTCAAATAAAGAGTTTTTGAAGATTTTTTTCATTCTAAAAGTTTTATAGTTGTAAAAATTTATTGTTAGTTGATTGAGTTTTGAGTAAATCATTTTGATTTGGGTCGAACCAAATATATTTGTATGTTTTTATTTTTTATTTGAGCTTGTTATTTTGTGTATATGAATGCTGTGTGTGGGTGTTAATTTCCCATGAGAATCTCGGTTAGATCTAGGAATCTGAGATTGACCAAACTTTGCAAATTGCGAGGCAGTTGCAATTGGCAATCAATATCCAACAATCTTAATGTCAACAAGCTTTGAAGCTTATAGATAGAACGAGGAAGCTTGCTCATTCTATAACACCTGGATAAGTCAAGATATCTTAAATGCTTCAAGGTGCCAACGAAATTGGGCAATACTTCCAAAAATGAATAGGAGAGATCAAGTAGCCGCAGGAACTTGAAATTCAAGATGGAAGCATTTACAAAATGTTCCTCAATTATCCTATTTCTTCCTGAAGAAGGTAGGATCACCAATGTCCGCACACCTTTTAAATTCTTCAAAAATGACTGTGGAGCTCTCAATGGATTATCACCCGAAAATGACAAATGTCGAATATGATCAGCAGCATTTATTGTATGAGGATAAATTGTTAAAAAGTCATCTTGAGACACATTTGACAAGAGATCATGTATTAGGTCATGGATTTTAAATGTGTAATATGTATATTCAACCTCGACATCTTGGACAAAACCCCTCGACCATAATTCTTTGAAATATCATAACCAACATTTTCCCACTCTTTGTTTTGCTTGGGGCTTTCAGTAAGTCCAATGGCCATCCAGAATTGGACGATATAATCAGTATCATAAATAGTATCCTTTGGAAACAATGACAAATGAGTTAGGCACCTTTGCAAATGAGATGGCAAATGATTATAACTTAATTTCAGCATAGGTAGAATGTCATTTTCATTTTGATCAAGTTTCCATATGTCGTTATCTTTTATAAATTCCCATTCATGTCGCTCAGTTTTCAGTAAAGCAAGCTTCCTAAAGTTCTCACCGCCAACTGAACCCCTTTGCATTTTTTCACAATTTCATCACCAATTCTCATAAGGTTTGGATATACTTTCTCATCTCCTTCCCTAAATGCCCATTTTACAAACAAAGATAGACAATCTTTGTGACTAAGACCTTTCGAGTTGTACGGAGCAATAGTACCCACTATCGAAGCAACTTTTGAACTCCATGTAGTCACAATGATTTTTCTTTGTTGAAAGTTACCCATTGTCATTAGTAAATCTCTCAGTTCCATCCATTTTACATGATCTTCGTTCCATACATCATCTAAAACGAGTAAAAAAGTTTTACCATTTAAAAGCATTCGCAAATGAGTTTGCAATGCATTAACTGGTAAACCATCACATCTTTTTCCCGTAATGGAGTAAATAACATCACAAAGCAACCTAGCAAGATCAAACTCATCTGACACACACAACCATATTTTCAAGGGAAAGACACTAGTGATCCTTTCATCATTGTACACAAGTTGAGCAAGCGTGGTCTTCCCTAAACCTCCGATTCTAACTATAGGGATGACGGGTATATTTTTAGTATCGATTGGCTTGACTAAAAGATCTATGATGTTTTCTTTGTCTCGATTGCGACCTATCACATTAGAAGGTATCACAAAGTAGTGGGTATCCCTGAGAATAACACGCCGGTTCTCAACTTTCTCTTCAAGTCCAAGATTAAATTTTTTGAAATCACTAGCCATCGCATCTAGCTTTTCATTGATCTTTTTGATTTTATGACTCATCCTCGAAGGGAATGCAAATGGAATAGAGAGAGCAGGTAATCGACCAATTTGTTGGTGGCGCTTCCACGATTGATCAACTCCTTTCGCAGCGCTTCACACGTGAATTCATCAAGCACATCCTCAGCATCATATAAAACGTCTCTAAGCTTCCCCAAACTAAGGCGCCACGTCTCGTTCTGGTGCTGCCGTTTTTCAGCATCAAACAGCACAGCATTATGTAGGTCATGGTTTCCTTAAGCCTTCTCAAATCACTACTGACATTCCAAAGCGAAATAGTTTCTTTGGCAGCCAGGGATACTATCTTTTCCTAAATCTGTTCTGCAACGATGGCCAGAAATGATTCCGCCATAATTAAACTCTGGAAAGGTAATCAAAGGTAAATGACAATTGAGTATAGTATTTATATTGAAGTTTGTTTCCGGGAAATTAAACAAGTGAGTTTAGAGTAAATATTTTATTTTAGCAGCCATCAGTACTTTATACTTGTGGTTTGGTTGATGATCAGCTACATCACCACCAAAAGAACAAAAAAAAAAAAAAGGCTTTCAATGTTTGCACAATGAAAAATGGATGCTTTCCAGGAATCACGGCATCCACCCTATCGTAACACGAGGGACACCCACGGACACGCAAAAAAAAAATCAGTGAGTGTATCGACGGACACGAAACGAAATGCATTTTACTTGAAAATTTTTTTAAAGCCAAACTCATAGAAAACTAAACAACTGATGGATTCCATATTTAGATTTAAGCATCACCTGGTGGAAATAATATGGGTAATGAACTTAATTTTATTGCAATTAAGAATTTTTAAGTGTGTTCTTAAACTTAATTCAATTATTTAATATGGGTATAATGCAAATTTTTATTTTGGGTCTTATTTACATTGAATATTTTTACATAGGTAATATTTCTTCCATTTTTTTTTCATTTTTGAGTCGTTTCAAAATATATATTTTTCAAAATTTTTGAATACCTTTTATTTTATCTTTATACTGAAAATTTATTTTTTGACAATAAAAAATATGATACTTCAATATTATAAAAAATTAAAATTATAATATTAAATACAAAAATTAGAATTTTTTAAAACAAATAAATTGAGAGAAGAAAGAATATATAAAAATGTTTTTATCATCATTAGTATCGTGTTGTATGAATACCTCATAGAGTTTCACTTTGATGCAACAAATTATTCAATTTATTGATAATTGATAAATTTTTCAAATAAATATCTATTTTATTTCACATGCACACGACTTAGGGGTGCATTGATTGTTATAGTTAAGTTGTTATGCAGCACGGATGATTAACTTTAAGTAAAATTTTAGTTTTTGAGTTTTGTAAATAAAAAAATAATTTTGAAAGAACTTACGAGATTTGATTCAATTTGATTATGAATTAATCGAGATCTAAAATTATTATTGAACGGTCGAAAAATTTCAAAAAAAAAAAAAAAACTGTTATGCAACAACCTCCAAGTAAAGTTCTGATTTTGCTTAGAACTTTCTAAATGAGATAATATCATTCACCCCGATGAAACAATAACTGAATATAGAACACTGAAATGAATGGCTGAAGTAGATTACGCAAACAAATACATATTCTAGGTACATGGGGTCAAACAATGTTACAAGCATGAACTACAATCAATACGCAACATCAAGGCAACAAATGTTACATCAAACCAAGAGACTTGATATCTGAAGCAAACCAAGAAAAAGCCCACAGTGGGATACAGATAAACTAAGAGCAATTTAAAACAAACTAGTCATAACACAACAAACACATAATTAAGTATGTCTGGTACATAATATCACAACAAAATCTTACAGAATACCACTGTTAATTACATTACATCTGATACAAATTAAAATCACATTCATTTATTACAACAATAATATTCCATAAAGTCCTTAATTGAAGGCATCTTAACAACAGCAAAAAGACTGTAAATCAAACAAAGTAAAATGCTTACTGCCAGCCTTCTCGTATTCTCTTTCAGTGGCTTTGGCCATCTGAGCACCAGATTCCTCTCGATTTGTATTAGAATCCTCTTTCAAGAGGTATTCAGTACAGTATAATTTCTTTCTCTACTATGACTCTAAGCCCTATGTCATCTTCCTTTTGGGGGAGGCTCATAAAAACTTTTGCCTTTCTTACAACCAAGGAGAAGGATGAGCCTCTTTCACCTCAATCGTTGAAGAGAGGGGATGAGCCTTTTCCAACTCGGTTATTTTTTATTGTAGCTTCAGCGTTTATATATTTTTCAGCTACAAATAGCATGTTGTCTAAAGTCTTAGGTGGCTCTAATGGTAAGGTCAGCATTAGGTGATACTCTTTGTCATTGAGTGCACTTGTTTAGGCGGCCATAACGATCATTTGTTCTAGGTCATGTACTTGTAAAGCTTTCGCATTAAAATACGTGACATAGTTTTTCAGGGATTCATTATGGCCTTAGTGGATCGACCTTAAGCTTAATGTCATCTTTTTTATTTTTTGGCTGCTTACAAATTGATATAGGAAGTAATGGCTGAGCTTTTTAAATGTTGTGATTAACCTTAGTTTTAAAACTACTAAACCAGGATCAAGCTGCGACCTTAAAGGTAATAGCATGACCTTTACACATTAAAACTTTATTCGCATCTTGCATCATCATCTTAGTTCTATAAACTTTCAAATGAACAAAAAGATTAAAAGCATCATCGTAAGTTTCTAAGGTTGACATTGTGAACCCTTTTGAAGACATAGTTATGTCGATTTCTTCGATGAAGGACGAGGTCTTAAAAAATTTGAGCTTGTCTTTGAAAGCCACCTCTTTCGCCTTTAGCTCTTTCTCCATAGTTTGCATTTGAGCTTTTAGGTTTTTGTTTGGCTAAGGCTCTAGGTTAGTTTGTTTTGATTTTTGGGTAATGACATGTATTGTCTTGTGATTAGGTAGTAGTGAGCAGGAGTGTCGCGCTCTTTTTTTTTAGAGGTTGATGAGGCTTTCACCTCCTCATAGCTCGGTTGCCTTTTCACAACTTCTTGGCTAGGAATAACTAGGTCTAGAACCTTCGAAGCCTAGGGTAGAGTTATAGTCTGTAACATCTTTTTGACAACTTATATCTGCTTAGTCAAAGTCTTGAAATTGCTCCATGGTCCGACCAGCCTATTATAAGGTAGGTAGGTCCAAATGTTGGCTATTGTGTGTCTCTATTCCGACTAGAAATGTCATCCTTCCTTCTTCTAAAGTTCTTTTTCCAAGTGGCATTGTTTTATACTTGGCTAATGAATGGAAAATCTCCTACATGGCGCACCAAATATTTATATCAAGCTCTGATGTGAAAATGTTCTTGAATGAATAAAATGTAAGAAGAGAGGGGGTCAAATACAAAGGCAGGGAGTGTTCTTTGCGTTTGCACTCCGACATGCAAATTAAAAATCAAAATGAAGAAGGTTGGAATGAGAGAAAGATAAATGGTTTAAAACAAGATGGAACTTGTGATGACAATACTGGATGCTTATATTTAGAAATGAGTGGTTTAGGGTCAATAAGGGATAATGGTGATGTGACTGAATTGAATGTGTCATATCAGGTTAATGCAAATGTTTGAAATATCCCTATCTATCCGCCAAACCCCTGATGAAGAAATTGGCCATTTTGTCTTTTGAATCAGTATATGCCCCCAACACCAACCATACATTTTATAATATATTTTTAAGGGTTACATTTTTTTTTTGGCCAAATTAGAGTTACATGTTTTGACTATTACAAATATGACACATGCATGTGCTTGGAAAGTGAGATTTGAAATTTGAATTAATTACATATAATGGAATGCCTTTTCCGTGTATGACAAACAGAAGAAAATAATCACAAATATGTAGCAAGAGATATTTATATGTGAATGTGATGATGGTTTGATTTCAAATCAAAAGCAAATCTGACAGACTGGTAGTGCTAATTACATAAATTCTCATGCAAATTAAGATTACGTTAATTAAATTCTAAAAAAAATTACATTAACTAATTTCACCAATAATCTATAAAGTCCTTAACGGAGTCGCCACAAATCTTTTTTGGCTAGGTGCGATTGGTCACCTATTAAAACATATTCTTTTAATGAAATCTTAAAATTAATTAAAATTTATTAAAAAGATAATTTTACGGTCTACGAAACAGTCGGGGTTCAGGAGTCGGTTACGCGTGGGGAAGGATTAGCACCCCCACAACGCCCGTTAAAAATGATATCAATTAACAATGTGTTATCCTTTGATTTTGATAAAAATAATCTTATTTTCAGTATTCTAAAAATAATTTCCTTGATTTTTTATTTGTTAAAAAAAATTATTCTCGAGAAAAATAAATCAAAACCTTTTTATTGAAATAATTCTTAAAATGTTCCAGTACGTTGGTAACATTAAAAGAACTCTTTCTCACCTAGAGATTTCTTAAAGCATCTCTACTCGGAATACTTTTAGAATCTCATCTTTGGAGGCTCGAATTTATTTTTCGTGAGAAAATGTCATGTTAAAAAAAATTTATTCTCGAGAAAAATAAATTAAAACATTTTTATTGAAATAATTCTTAAAATGTTCTAGTACGTTAGTAACATTAGAAGAACTTTTTCTCACCTAAAATTTCTTAAAGCATCTCTACTCGGAATACTTTTAGAATCTCATCTTTGGAGGTCTAAATTTACTTTCCATAAGAAATTATGTCATGCATACCATGCAAAATATTTTCATGTTTATGCACACATTTTATTCTCATTCAAAAATTTTATTAATTATTTTATTAATTTTTTAATTTTAATTAAAATTTTGAAGAAAAAAGAATTTAATTATATTAAAGATTTTCTATAAATATTCCAATACGCTGGTAATATTTTACAAAAAATCTTCTCACCTAGAGATTTCGTAGGCATCTCTACTCTGAATACTTTTAGAATCCCATCATTGGATTAAATTTCTTT